ATGATTAGCTTCGGAGCTAAAGTATCTGATTTTGAGCAGTTTCTCCCTCCTTGGCCTGGGGTGCTACATGATCTATTCCTATATTCTCCTTCCTATTTCTTCCTTTTTGTCTTAACTTCCCCTAGCGGCCCATCCAAAAATCCCCAGACTCAAGAGTTAGGAATCTGAGTTATAGGAGTTCTATTGCCTTGAGGAACAGGGCTGTGCCTAGGCCTTCCTGAGCCTGCTGTGAATTCCTGCCTACCTACCTACCTGAATTACTACTATTAATTCTCAATCTCTAGCCCCAGTGTTAGACATATTTTAAACTATGTTCATTTGAGGCCCAGTAGAAATCTCTGCAGATTTTTTAAACCCTCTTGCTGCTTCATTACATTTGGGTTATGGCCAAGGGCCATGCCTCTGGACTAGCAAATCTTCTTACATCATGGTTAAAGTAACACCTCCTTTTTGTTCCTCTTGGAAATGATGCCTTTTTTTTTTTTTAAACAAAGCCATTGACCCAAGTATTAGGGAATGTTAAAATAAGTCTGTGGATACATGAGCACAAGAGAGAGCACACATGTACACACACACATACACATACAGCTTTACAAAACATGGCTGGTCTCAGTGCCCACAAACATGCCAAAGCTTCCCCACACATTCACAGAATGTCACATCTAGAAAGCACTCCAGAGGTCCTCCAGTTATTCCAACCTTCCCACCCACCACCTGACCAAGAATCTCTCCACAGCTCTATCCATTCGGCTTCTACTTGAAGACCTCCAGTGAGAGGAAACCCTTTCCTTCTGGAGGCACTGTTTGGGGTTTTAGGAAACACTGGCAGAAAAAAGTAAAGGCAGGTTCACTACTTCAGATTCAGGGTAAGCTGTCCAGTATCACTCCCTGGGCTCGGTTTCTGGAAACTGTGAAAAGAAAGATTACTAATCCCCCACCCTGGGTCCCTGTTATTTTTTTGTTATGTGACCTTGAACAGATCACCTCCTTTCTGCATCTTAACTGACAAAGACAGATGCTGAGCCTGGAACTGTTTATTATTAGCATGAAAATGGAGGTGCCAGCACATGAAAGGTCCCTTGAACCTTTCAAATGAGGCACTAGGACATCTGGCTATTATCTACTTCCCAGTTTGGAATATACTTTGCTGAGGGGCAGCTAGGTGGTACAGTGTATAGAGCCCTGGCCCCGGATTCAGGAGGACCTGAGTTCAAATTGCCCTCAGACACTAGCTGTATGACCCTGGACAAATCACTTAACCCTGATTGCCTCCTAAAAAACCAAAAAAACAGAATATGCTCCCCTTAGCTATAAATCTTGGGAGCTGGTCTTCCCTACCTTTCCAAATAAGACTGAATTGAAACCACCTCAGGGACCTTTCTTAAATCCCCAGGGGAGAAGATGCCATTGCCTCCCTTGCTAAGGCGGTCTAATATGCCCTAACTCAGACTGTGGGAAGTGCCTCATGATATCTATGCTAACACCACTGAGTTCTCTTGGCGTCTTATTCTTGGGAGGTGGAAGGAGGGAGGGAGAGTAGCCTTTCCCTGATGGGGGTGGGCCACTTAGGGCTAGCTCCTCCTTGCAGTCTTTGGGTCCCAACCAGGCAGACGCTGATTTTCCATCGATACTTTAGTCTTGTCCCAATTCATCAGGAGCCTGGGCAAGGGCTGTGGACTTCTCAGCATGGGGTGGGAGAGATGATTTCACAGCCTGACACATTCTTTTTGTCTCTCCCAGATCATGTGCTCAGTCTGACTCTCAGAGCCAGTGGCATTTCCAATCCAGACCTAGGGCTCTTTCTCTAAAGATTCCTTCTCTCCTTCCTTCTGGGTTCCTCCAGGGGAAACTGTTTCCCTGTGGAAAAAGACCCTGGAAAATTCCCTTCCTTTACTCTCTTTAGGAGCGTGCGTGTGTGCGTGCGTGTGTGTGTGTGTGTGTGTGTGTGCGCGCACGCGTGCATAGGCACACATTTATTTTGCAGCTGCTGAGATCAGAAACTAAAATCTGCTCCTGGCTAGAATGTATGTGAAATTACAGCTGTTGAGATCAAAGACTGAAAACCTTCTCTGGGGCTCCTAGTCCCACATGGTTCCCCTCCCTATTTCACACGTCAGAGAGAGAGGATTCCCAACAATGGGCTCCACCTTTCCCCTCCCTGGTACTGGGCATGCTGGGAACTGGAAAATCCACTTAGATTCTTTAAGGTAGAACCCTAACCTAACCCTAGGTGACTAATGGTGGAGATGATAGAGTAGGAATTAGAGATGGAGTGGGGTTATCTACATCTTGAGGGGGAACACCAGCAAAATCTAGTCTTAAGTTTTTCATGGAGACTTTTGTCCCATTGCTTCTCCTAAAATAAGTGACAGGAATCTTTGGGGGCCTTAGTTTTTTTTCCATTTCTACAATGAAGGAGTTGGATCAGATGACCTCTTCGTCTCTCATAGAACTCTGTGTTCTAGAGTTCTGCATTTTTTTCTGATCCCTCCATCTCTGGTCTGCTAGAGAAACAGCAGGGCTGATTCACTCTTGTTTTAAAGTGAGTGTCCCAGAAACCGATAATTTGCTTAGAGGAAAATTCAGTACATTAGTATGTTGGTCTCTTCTATGAGGAGAATTCACATGGGTTCAACGTCCCTTAAGTTTCTTCTGGGGCCACTCTACGGGTAGCTAGGTTCTCTTTGCTGTCTTGCAGCTTCACATTCACAACCAAGATCAGTTCAGGTGGCCTTAGGACAGGGGATGACCGTGGACTTCCTCCTTGCAGGAGCAAAGGGGATGCTTCTAGAGTAGCTCCCGGTGCCTGACATTCTGGTTATTTTTTGGTAGTCTGTTGAAACTTATCTGCAAATATTGCCCTTTACCCTGTGTGCCCTGCATGTCAAGTAGCATCTCAGCTCATCAGCAGGGCTCCAAATCCCTGAATCCACTTGTCAGGGCCCTACCATCTCAGGGCCCTCACAGAGAGACCCAGCTGGGCTCAGCCCCCTGGCAATACTATCTCTGCCTTGAGCATTATTTTCCCAGGCTCGTGTCCTCTTTTCCTACTGGCAACTGGACCCCTCAGGCTGAGGGAGACAGGGAGCCTGCTGGGAAACACCCAAGTTCTCCTTTTTACCCAGTGAGTCAAATCCCACTCCTTCATTCTTCATGACCTGAGGCAATAAAGAATTTATAAGAATAGCTATCATTTCTGTTGAGTTGTTGTGAGAATAAAATGTGATTATGTGTGCAAGCCTTAAAGATATAGAAATGCTAGCTACTGTTATTATTATTAAGTATTATTATTATTAACTTTTCTCACTACTCCTTCTCACTAGCTTCTCAATGTCATAGAACCAAATTGGATTTAATCTAGTTTATGATAAGTAATCGTAGCAATAATAGTGATAACCAGTATTTATATGGTGCTTCATCCATATTATTTCATTTGCTCCTCACAATTCTATGAGGTAAGTTCTATTATCATCCCCATTTTACAGATGAAGAAACTGAGGCAGAGAGTTTCAATGACTTGCCTAGGGTCACCCAGCTAGAAGTAGCCTCCCTTTATGGAGAAGTTTAGGGATTTTCTTCCCTAATTTATGTTTTGTTTGTCTATTCTACTCCCTGAAGACCCAAGTATAGCCTACTAAAAAGTACTCTCAAATCCTAAATTTCTCATTGGTTGGGGGGTTTTGTTTGTTTGTTTTTCAGGTTTGGGGATTTTTTGGTGAGTGGACATTTTTGCAAAGCCCAATTTCAAAGTTCTTCCTCAAGCTGTAGCAGGAGGTATTTAGGTTAAATTTAAGATCATTTCCTTTGATTCTCCTCTCAGTAGAAATGATCAACTACTCTTCCACCTACATCTTTGTAGAATAGCCCTTAGTGGACTTAGTCAAGTATAGACTTTCATCATTGCCCCTTACCTCCCTCCAGAGGTCTTTACCAATGGTTCTCTATGGCCACAATTACTTGAAGTTCAGCCCACACTGGTGTTCCCTCCTGTGCTTTAGTGCTTTCTTGGAGACCTGTGTTGCCCGCACCTTTAGCTTCAGGGAAACTGTAAAGGACTGCATCTAGCAGTCTTAAGTGCCAAATTTATGACTAAATTGCTGTGGCATATACATAAACTGATAAACACCAACTGGCATTAATTGCCATGTTAAATTCTAGCACCCCCTCCCCCCTTCATCTTGGCATTGGGGCTGTTGATGTTAGGAAGAGTGACTGAGAATTTCCATCTTTGGCCCCCTGGCCTCAGGAAATCGCCTGGATGTTTCCAACCCCAAACTACCCCTTCTTCCTTCCTTTGCTCCTTTTTTCCCTTCTACCTAAATAATCCCAGTGATCTTCAAAGAGGGGAAGGGGTGCCACCATGAGGAGAGAAAAGACCAGAACTAGAACTAGAACTAGAACCTGAGATCCCGGAACATGTGATATCCTCCTGTCACTTGGAAGTCTAGTGGAAGGGACCCTAGGCTGAGAATCCGGATATATCCCCCCTGCTTCTTGTGACTTTTGGATGTCTGCTAAGAGTTGTCAGGGAGGACACATGAGAAGATACAGCCAAACGATAATTTGGAGTTTTTGAACTGTGACTCAATTGATTAAGTAAGCACCTTCTACCAATACAGATCATCACTTGCTCAGCAACTTGGTCCAAAAGAGTTTCCGGGGGGCATTGAAGGTAAATATTTTGTTTAGAGTCACATGGCCAGAATGGGGCAGACTTGGGCCTAGAGCCCAAGACTTTTGACTCTGAGGCCAGTTTTAGGTTGACTCTATCCAAGCCAAAAAAAGTAGACTTTGCCTATTCTTGGCATGCTTGTCTGGGTAGAAATAGGCTATAAATGAGCTGACTTCTTAAAGAATCTTCCAACCCAGAGGATTTGTAACTTGTATAGGTCAAGGAAGAGAGGTAGTTGGGGATATTTGAGGAAGGTAGAGTCTTTTTTTCTTAAAGTTCCTTCTAACATCTTTATTTCTTCTTTCACTACCCCTTTTCCTCTCTTCAGGACTGTCTGGGAACCCTGCGGATCTGGAGAGACGCAAGCAGGTATTTGGACAAAACTTCATCCCCCCTAAGAAGTCCAAGACCTTTTTGGAGTTAGTGTGGGAGGCTCTACAAGACGTCACACTCATCATCCTGGAGATCGCAGCAGTCATCTCCCTGGGCCTGTCCTTCTATCATCCTACTAGTGATGAAAATGAGTGTGAGTATCTTATAACTGGACAAGATCCTACTTCAGTCCTAGCAGTAGGCGTTTAATATTGGTTATTGATAAACTATCTCCACTTAGATTTTTTTTCCCCATCTACCCAGAATGATTTGTTGAGGATCAGGGCTAATTAATTCAGACTGCATTTGGACATTTTGTCCAGTACCCAGTGAGGTCCATTTCTACCATAGAATTCCTCTCTATGTCTCGTCTTTCATGCCTAGTGACAAATAGAATATTGCCAATCTCCAAAGCCCTGCTCCTCAAAGTGCAAGCCAAGTGCTTGGCATCATGGGAAGTTGCTCAAACTGTTGGGCAGAAGTAGTCTGACCCCTTTGGACTCAGGTGGTTATTTACACATGACTTGTCTGTCATTTGTATAGGCACACAGTCTGGACTCTTGAGTCTCTGGCTCCTTTCAGGTTAACACTGTGGTGGTGCAGGTGATGAGTGGATACCTAAGCCTGGATTTCTCAGCAGTGCTGGTTCCTCTGCCTGGGAGTCTGCCTGCCTTCTTTACCCTGCCCTATCCCACCTCTCCTAGAAAGGGTTAGTGATAGCATTAGCTCCACTTACCCTGTCAACAAGGACCTTATAAGTGACACCCCCTCCTTTCTCTCTCCCCTTATGCAGTAGAGTGCGGGCAATCCAAAATTAGTGCGACAGATGAAGGGGAGGCAGACACTGGCTGGATTGAAGGGGCAGCCATCCTATTTTCGGTCATCGTTGTGGTGCTGGTGACGGCCTTCAATGACTGGAGCAAGGAGAAGCAGTTCCGGGGCCTACAGAACCGTATCGAGCAGGAACAGAAGTTCACTGTTATCCGCAAAGGCCAGATAATCCAGTTGCCTGTATTTGACATTGTGGTGGGAGATATCGCCCAGGTCAAATATGGTAAGAATCCCATGCTGTGGGTACCCCTCCCAGCCGACCTACTTTGTGGGCAGGTGATTTTTGCACCCCATTTCAATTGGAGAAGCAGGTCGAGATCCTGGGATATTACAAGGAGATTGCTTGGGGAGGTTGCCACAATTGGAGAGTTGGAGCAGGGGGAGAGAAGTAGAATGGGACAGGGTGGATAAAAACCTAACTTGGGGTGAAGCAGCAAGGGTGATGAAGCCAGCATGTGGCAGCTTTGTATTTTAATTATTAAAATTATCTTAATAATTAAAATTGTATTCTTGTAATCTAGGTCCTAGGTTCAATTGTTTCAGTGAGACACTGACAGTATTCTCAGTGCCATTTGAATGCCCTCAGCCTAGTTACAGATCACCTGACCCTGGTTATGGTTCTGCTCTTCTCCATTTTCCATTGCTGTTACATACCTTTTATGTTTCATTGCTTGATGGGCAAGATAGTTCTCTTCTTGGTCTCACAGTATGAGAAGGGGTCTAAGAACCATTGAAGGATCTGAGTAGATTATGTTCTTCATTATCAGCTTCTGGGTTCAAGTTTAGGGAATTTGGAAGTCCTTTAGGAAAGGAATCATCTGAGACCCTACTGCGGTATAATTTAATACAACCTTGCTGCTCTGTGGAATAACCAGCATGTTTTTCTGGGTCCCGGGGGCAGTTATGAGGAATAGGAATACGAAGAGCCTTTGGAGGTTGTCCCAAATTTTGCAGGAACTTTGTCAATCCACATGGTACCTGCTTATCTGTGGTACTTGCTTGTCTAACGCCCTTCAAAGAACCTCCATGGGAGGAGCACTAGAGTAGAATAGGACCAGGCCTTCCCACCTTCTCTTTTTGTCTCTTACTATAATTCTCCATTTTCTCCTCCTCTCTCCTCCCTTTTTTTCTCCAGGTGACTTGTTGCCTGCAGATGGGATCCTGATTCAAGGGAATGATCTGAAAATTGATGAGAGTGCCCTAACTGGAGAGTCTGACCATGTCAAGAAGACAATAGAGAAAGACCCCATGCTCCTTTCAGGTGAAGCTTTGCCTCTTCCACCAGTTCCCCTGTGGCCCCCCTCAGTCTTCCTTATCACAGAAGATGTCCTCATTGACCTAACTCTACCTCTTCTTCAGATTGCTGCAATAGTGCCACACAGATGGCTTTATTATGATAGACAATGGCTAACATTTACATAGCACTGGCAGTGTGCCAGGCACAGTGTTAAGGTCTTTACAATTATTATCTTATTTTATCCTGACAACAACTATTCTGGGAGGTAGGCACTATTATTATTATCCCCATTTTACAGATGAGGAAACTGAGGCAGACAGTGGTTCAGCAGCTTGCCCAGGATCACACAGCTAGTAAATGTCTGAGCCTGACTTCTGGCCCAGTGCTCTCCTGAGCTGCCCCGGATCTCAGTAAATCCAGCAGCTCAGATGAGGTTTCTTTGATTCAGTTACAAAGGGTGCACAGAGATTATCTAGTCATCTCTCATACCTGCTGCCCTGCAGACTAATCCCTTCTACAATATCCCTACAGAGTAGTCTCCTAAAGCATCAATGGAAAAGCACTCCTTGTGAAAGCAGAGTGCTTGGGTTCAGACCCCACTTCTGCCGCTTACTGCCCATGTGAACGCTGGCAAGTCACTTAATTTCCCTGCACTCCAGATCCCTCCTTCACAAGATGAAGGGGTGGAGCTAGCTCTTCTCTGAGGTCCCTTTAGCTCCAGTTCTAAGATGGACTTGAGCACTTTCTGAAAAGATTCCTGTGGAGTGCAAAGATGGACTCTGAGATTAGCTTATTTTTGCCCTCTAAGGGCAAGAATATTGAAGAGAGCTGGGTCCTGTGGAGTCTCAATGTTAGATTGCTGCACAAAGCAAGACTAGGGGTACAGAAATATCACCTTTTCTCACTCTTTCCAGGGACCCATGTGATGGAAGGGTCTGGCCGAATGCTAGTGACTGCGGTGGGTGTGCATTCCCAAACTGGAATCATTTTCACCCTTTTGGGGGCATCCCAGACTGATAAGGGGAAGAAGGAAAAACCCGGTAAGCCCCAACCCCCTTGTTGCCTCTTCCCTAGATGGACTAGGGATCTCTGATGAGATGAGTCAAGCGACTTGAAGACTGTCCTGCTGGTAGACAGCTGGAGTCCAAGGGACATTCCCTGGACAAGGAACCTGTTGAAATAAGGTTGACAGACAATCCAAACCCTTTGGAAAAGCAGAGAAGAAACCATTTTGGTACAGCCATCTCTGACTCCCTAGAGAACATTCATGAAAACCAGATCATGCCTACAGGCTTCCTTCCAAACGTGTTGCTCTGTGGCTTTGCTTTCCCATGCAGGTGGGTGGAGATGATAGGCTCTTAAAGATTACTAGGCACAAAGCTGGCACAAAGAGGCTCTGGCCTCTGCTGCCTGACTTCTTTTCTCCATTCCCTTTGTCCTTCTTCCCTAACCAGGCCTCAGCATGAACAGTCCAGGCTTAGGGAAAACTCAGGGAAAAAAGGAAGTGCCTGCACTTAAGCATTTTAGGCTCTGGGGACAGATCAGAAGCAGGGGACCAAGGCAAGGTGGTCTTTATCCCTAGAGTGAGAGCCAGTTTTCTCTATGGAGTTCACTTAACTCCAAAGTGGAAAAAATTAGGGAGGGGGAAAGGATTTCAAAATGCACTGAAACCAAATCTCATGTGCCTCTTTTCGAAATCCCATTGACACTCAACATATTAGAAAAGGGTCTGCCTGGAGAGGTTTAAGACTATGGAGAGAGAGACAGAGAAAGAGAGACAGACAGAGATACAGAGACAGAGAGAAGTTCCAGGCTGGTATGGTAGTAGAGTCCTGCCATTCATTTTTGGTTGTTTTTGGACAGGAACCTTTACAGTCTGGACTTTTTGTGAAGGGGAAACAGCTTAACATCCTTGGAGCCATTTTCACACTCTCTGGGATGTGTCTCAGAACCCAGTGTGCTTTCTTCTGATGGCACCTGCAGTTGAGCAAGGAAGCAGGAATTCATGGGCCTGGACTCTGTGGGCCTAAGCAAAGATTCCTGTAATAACCATCAAGCCAAATCATAGAATAGAACCTGAGTTAGGAAAAATCCTCGAAGGTCATTTAATCCAACTGAGAAATATTTTATCCCTTTGGGTAGGTGGGGAGAGGGGGTGCTTACCTGCCAGTTCTGCCCTTCTGCTCCAATGCCAGGAATCCCTTATTGCCAATAGCTTTATTAATGAAGAGGGATTGGCTGAGAGGGTGTGTGTGTGTGTGTGTGCGCGCGCGCACATGCACATATGCACATGTGTGGGTGCACATACACCCGCTCGGTATCGCAGGGATCCTAGGAAACACAGGTGTATGTGGTATGTTTCCTTTGCTGTGGTCTCCCAGCCCCTTTCCCCAACACTGATAATATGGAGAAGGATGTTCTGCCCAACACCTTGCTGTGTTCCTGGGCCCAGGCAGAGCCTTCAGCATGTTGGCCGCCTGAGCTCTTAAGGACAACTTTGGCCCCTTAATGACACAATCGGAGGGTCTCCACCCCCCTTTTTTCTTTCTTGTTCAAACAGGTAAAAAACAAGGAGCCCCTGAAAATCGCAACAAAGGTAACCTTCTCCCCCCACCATTCACCCACCTACCCCCAAACCAGACCTCCCAGGCTATCCACCATTCTTCCTTCTTCCTTCCCATGAGTCCGTTCTTTGCTGAGCTGGTGGAGGCATCCGGAGGGTGCAGAGACTGAGACTTTTTGGTCCACCTACCCTTTCCCAACCTGAGCTGAGGCCATAGCACCCTCTGCTGTCAATTTAGGGAGGCCAGGACCTAGGTTGCTTCTGGAATACTGTGGGAGACTGATCTGTTCTATCCCAAGAAAATGATCTCTTTGACTACCCTGGCAGAAATGGCTTTTCCCTGAGTTTGATATTGGGCATTCTCTGCTCTACGGCCTGATGTGCTCCATCCCCAGAACAGGACGGTCCCCTTATCCCTGCAGGGATTGCATATTCATTGCACCCTCCTCCTCTTCTGCTGGCCTGCCTCTGTCCATATTCTATCCTGATCTGGGTTGCCCTTTCCACGGTTCTTCCCAGGTGGTATATGGAGAGCCCTGTCTTTGCCCTTCTCTCACCATCTCTCTCGCTCTCTCCTTCTTTCCACAGTTTGTTTTTCTCCTCTTGATCTGGTGTGTTTTCTTTCTGGTGGCTGTGTTTTCATTCTTTCTCTGTCCTGTCTACCTCTGATGGCAGAAGCAGCCTCTCCCAAGAGACACGATGTACATGGGCATGGGAGGGACGTGGGGATGGTTCTCCTGGAGGACGAGACAGTTCACAAAGATCTCTTCCTTTCCAGTCCAGTCAACACTGATCTCTAAAAGTAAAGCTGTCATGTTTGTTAGAGAACCAGGACTGCTTGAAGGAAGTGATTATCTTTATTTTTAGGCTTATTATAAACCTGTTTTTAAAAAATGAATAAAACGAACTGACCTGTATACATTTCTTCTCTCTTTATCTCCCTTCCGCTTTTCCAGTGGATCCCTCATACCAACTGCCTTGTAAGGGACTTGGTTCCAGGGTTCCTTCTATGTCTCTCTTCCCTCATGGGGTACTAACCAAGAACTCCCAACCCCAACTTACATTGGAGGGGGCTGGAGATGCCCAGCTTTATGATCCTTCTTGGGTTTTTTGTTTGCTTGTTGGTTTAATGATATCGTGTATGTGGGGAGGGAGGTCAGCATTTCAAAGCAGAATCCAAATTTCAATGTCCCTGGCATGTTTGCCTACTGCCTACTAGCTCAGCCATATTCTGTATTTTCAGAGTTCATCTGTCCTAAACACTGGCTTCTTGGAAAAATGGTTTGAAATTTTCTATTGTATTACTGTGTGTAAACATGTGTATTTTTAAAATATTTAATAGAGTAACATGCTACAATAAATCCAATTCTGGACACTGAGCTAGTGATGGGAGACTGGCAGTAGGGAAAATTTATACCCTGCCCTGTGTCTCCCTGTGGGCTGAATTAAAATGGCTGGCCCTCAGGTGGGATGGGGCAGGCTGGGCTCAGAGTATTGGTGCTGGCTGTCCACCATCAACCTGTGCTTCAAAGAGACAGGCAGAAAGGCATCTCGATGTCTTGGCTCTAACCTTCCTAGTCCTCTGTGCTCCTGAGCCTCTGGCTCATCTATTATTTATGTGTGCTCCAGCTAAGACCGAAGATGGTGTGCCTCTAGAAATCCAGCCCCTGAAGAGCCAAGAAGGGTTAGAGGAAGAAGAAAAGAAGAAGAAGAAGAAGGGGCCCAAGGAAAAGTCAGTGCTACAGGGCAAACTGACACGCTTGGCTGTCCAGATTGGGAAAGCCGGTGAGTAGGTGCAGCTGGCTGGGGGCCAGCTGAGGGGAAAGAGCGATAGGAAATCCCACGAGCCTCTCTTCTACCACTCTCCCCACCCACCTTCCCCATACAGGCCAATTCAGACCAGATATCTAGTGTGAACGAGGAGATGAAATCCCGGCTTTACCTCCAATTCCCTTTTGAATTGACATCACTTCCCCTCAGGTGGAATCGTCACCAATAAGGAAGGCTCTGGAGTAGAGTGCATCTGAGTCCTCAAAGTCAAACCTGAGAGCTAAAGAATGTGACCTCCGAAGAAAGGTTAAAGCTCACAGTTCACAGAACATCAGTCCGAGGAGGGCTGGTGGAACCCCCAGTCATTATCCAGCCTTGACTTCACATTCTCATGGGATATCGAAGTCACCGTGTCCCAAAGCAGCCCATTCCGCATTGGTAGAGTTCTATATGTTAGGAAATATCTCCCCTGTTGGGAGCTGAAGTCAGAGGAAGTTAGGCTGACATGAAGTTCTTAAAATATTGGTTCTTGTCAGTACCATTGGATCTAGCTTGTAAATTCCTTGAGGATAAGATTCACTCTTCAGCTGGCAAATACTAATCCCATAGGTGAAGGATAAGCAGATTTGGCCCTTCTGATTATTACATGATCACGAATAGGGAGAGAGAACAGATTTCCAAATGATCTTTTTACCAGATAAATGGTCTGCACTAGGATTTGGGATAGTACCCAAGCAGAAGGTTTCTCCAGCTGCCTTTCCATTACCTGATTGCTATGCCTTCCCTGTATATCAAAAGGGAAGACATTTCTTCTTCAAAGTCTTGACCCTAGATTTATGACTTTTCCTCCCACTTTCCTCTCTGCCTAAAGCACTGGACTAGGAGTCAGGAACATGAGTTCAAATCTAGCTTCAGACCCTTACTAGCTGAGTGGCCCTAGGCAAGTCATTTAACCTCACTTTCCTCAACTGCCAGAGATAGATAACAATAGTACCTACCTCCAGGGTTGTTGGAAGGATCAAATAAAATAATATTTGTAAAGCACTTAGCACAGTGCCTGGCACATAGTAGGCATTTAATAAATACTTATTTCCTTGCTTCCCTCCTTCATTTCTCTTTTTTCTTCTCTGACCATACTCCTTTCTCCACTTTATCCAGTCCAAAGAGTCAACAAAGCTTAAGAGATGGAAGGAATCTCTCTCTATGCCTCCACACTGGCTATTCCAAGTGCTTGGAAACCACTCCCTCCTCACCCCCACCTCTTAGAATCTGTAGTTTCAGGGCAGCTAAGTTGCACAGTGGTTAGAGCTCTGGCCTTGGAGCATGGAGGACCTGAGTTCAAATCCAACCTCAGACACTTAACACTTACTAGCTGTGTGACCCTGGGCAAGTCACTTAACCTCAATTGCCTCACAAAAAAAAAAAGCATCTGTATTTTCTACTGAGCCTTAGTTCAGGGACCCCCTTCCACATGACATCTTTCCTGTTCTCCTAGCTACAAAGACCTCCATCTGAAAATTATCTTGTATTTAGTATTATTGTTGTTAATAGTAATAATAGCTAGCCTTTACATAACATTGTAGGGCTTGCAAAGTGCTTTTCAAATACATCATTCGATCCTCATGACGACTATTAGAGGTAGGTGCTATTATCCTCATTTTTACGGATGAGAAAACTGAGGAACTGAGAGATATAGTGACTTGCCCAGGGTCACACAGGTAGGCTGGACTTGAACTCAGGACTTTCTGACTCCAGTTCAACAAATGTTTGTTGATTGATTGACCTTAAACATGTAGTCCAACCTGTATTTCAACAGAATCCCTTCTATGACATCCTCAACAAGTGATCATCCTGCTGCCAGGTTAGGACTCCCTTGTAACAGGTAACTTGCTGCCTCCCAAAGCTGGCCCGTTCCACGGTTAGATAGCTGTAGTTGTTAAAAAGTTGTTCCTTTCCATTGAGCGAAAATCTGCTTCCCTCTAGCTTCTGCCCGTGGTTACCAGTTCCACCTTCTAGGGCCAAGTAGAACCAATTTAACCTGTCTGAATATCTTTGGCCAATGGTATGTGCTTCTCCCCACTGGTCTTTGTTTCTACGTGTTAGACGGCCTTATTCCTGCAGCTGATTGTTGTATGGCATGGTTTTAAGTAATTTCACCAACCTGGATTTGTTTTTCTTAAACTCAAATGTAAGACTTTTTACATTTATCCTAATTACATTTGAACTGCTTAAATCCACACTATTATCCTCTAACCTTTATATCCTTTGTGGTCTTGATCGTGACATAGTATCTATCATCATCATCAACATAGTAGCCATCTATCCCTCCCCATTTTGGGGGGTACAACTAGGTGGTGCAGTGGATAGAAGTGCTGGGCCTGAAGTCAGGAAGACTTATCTTCCTAAATTCAAATCCAGCCTCAGGCACTTACCAGCTGTGTGGTGCTGGGTAAGTCACTTAGCCCTGTTTGCCTCGGTTTCCTTATGTGTAAAATGAGCTGGAGAAGGAAATGCAAACCACTCTAGTATCTTTGCCAAGAAAACCCCAAATGGGTCATGAAGTGTCTACGACTGAATAACAATAACAATGCCCCTTGTCTTTACAACAGAATGAGGGAATCTGCATCTCACTTTTATTTTTGTGTCTTCAGTACCTAACAGTGCAGAGTAGACACCTATTTAATAAATGCTTGTTAAACAAAAATTGTTGATTTGAACTTAACATATCTGTGTATAATTTATAGTCAGTTTCCTATCTCAGCTTTTATTAAGGGCCTTCTCTGTGCAGAGCACTATACTAGGGGCTGGGGATACAGGTTTCATTGTTCCTTATGACTTAACATGAGTATAAAACATTAAATAGATACATTTAAGGGTTTTTACCAACTCACATCCCTTTCCTCTGTACCCGAGCTTTAGAGTTCACTCTTTGCCTTACTGATACCATATACCCTTGCCATGGAATCACTTAGTTAAAGGATAAATTAGCATGTAAAAAATAGCTGCCATCTTTTTCTCAGAAAGTTCCTCCTGTCCTACTTAAGAGTCCTGCTTAAAATTTCATCTACCACTGGTTCCATCTTGGATTTTACTCTTCAATCCATAATCCCTATTGGGCTATGTAAGCAATAGTTAGCTATTGTCCTGTCTGGAGGAATAGAGTTAAATTAGCTCTATCTAGGCAAGTTAGGTTTGTGATGAGTACCCATAAACTTAAATCATGAATTAAGGGGCATAGCTATGGGTGAGGAATTAAGCTAGTCTCCTTACTCAATAACCATTAATAAAACACCTGCAGCATTCAGAGTATTTTACTTGCTCCTAGTCTTTGCACTCTAGGGACTTATTAAATTGATGAGCCACCTATAATGAACAGAAATAGGGAAAACAGCAGTCACAGAGAATTATGCCCAAGGGAAGGACTAGGAATAGGTCGCTGCATTACAAAGTGAATGGAATGAGTTGTAGGCAGTTTTCTCATTTTGACTTTTATCTTGGTATAGGGTGTAAGATGTTGGTCTATGCCCATTTTCTGCCATACTATTTTCCTGTTTTCCGAGCAGCGTTTGTTAAATAGTGATTTATTATCCCAGAAGCTAGTCTTTGAATTCAGTAGATTAGTATAGTCATTGACTATTGTGTCTCGTACAGGCAATTTTCTAAAGAAGGAAGTTTTGAACCTCCAAGTTCAGGAGCCCTCATTTCCCAGTAGTGCTCTCTAAGTCCAGTCTAATGTTGCTTGTATTTCCTGGACAAGTCTTTTCATGTCTGCTCTCACAGTTCTCATCTTGATACTGTCCTTTGTGATCAACACATTCGGGGTGCGAGGTCAGAGTTGGAACGCAGAATGCATCCCCATCTACATCCAGGGCTTTGTCAAGTTCTTCATCACTGGGATCACTGTGCTCGTAGTGGCTGTACCAGAAGGGTTGCCTTTGGCTGTCACCATCTCGCTGGCCTATTCTGTCGAGGTGAAGTAGGGCCTTCATACTTCCTTCCTGTAGAACACTTGAGGGCAAGGGAAGGTTCTAACAGCATGGATCAGCTCAGGGCACGGGTCATGTTCTCTCAAGACAGAGAACATACCTAACCTCACTTCCCTCAGAACATTAGATGAAATACAGCATCCATGATAGGTAGGGACCCCTATCCCATTTGGTATTCATTTCAATGTCCCCAAAAGACTTTGATTTGTAATAGAACCCACAAAATTCATCTTGGATTTTTTTTTTTATTCAGAGGAAGAGGTTAGTGAATGGGAGAGGAGGGTTTGAATTGGAAGTCATCTGTCTCCCAATTTCTATACTTAGAGAAGTCCTGCCGATTCTCACATTCTCTTCTTTTGGCAGAAAAGGATGAAGGATAACCTCGTATGTCACTTGGATGCCTGTGAGACTATGGGGAATGCGACAGCCATCTGCTCAGACAAGACAGGCACACTGACCTTGAACCGCATGACAATGGTGCAAGCCTTTATAGGGGACACTTACTTCAAAGAGATCCCCAGCCCAGATGTCATTGCGCCCAATACCTTGGACCTCATTGTCAATGGCATCTCCATCAACAGTGCCTGCACATCTAAGATCTTGGGATGCTGTACCCTGACTCTATGTCTTGAGTGTATAAGAGAAGGGAATCTCTAAATCCCTGGGCAAAGCATGAAAAGGTTAAATGACTTGTCTGAGGTCATATTTCTAGTAAGGAGCAGAATCAGAATTCAAACCAGGTCCTCTGATTCCAAATCCAGAATTCTTTCCATTGCACTTCAATATATCACATCCTTGAGCATAACATGTGAAGACTTATAGGATGAGATTAGGAAATATGAGGCATGTCATGGGCCGTTTAAGTACCTATCAATTCCCAAGCAGAAACAACCTTTTGGGAAAGAGATACTTGCACTTATAGCAGAGAAAGTCTCACTAGCAGACAGTGGATACTGTCCTTTACCCAAAGAGTAAAGGAGGGTGTGACCTTTTTCAGAGCAGGAACCCCTTGTCTTCTTCCCTCCCATCCCTCACTACCCTCGAAACAGGCAGAATGTTACATAGTTGGGAAGTGACCAGCCCCTGCTGCTAGGGCTGCTAGGAAAGTCACAATCATTCCATACCTTTGGGTGCCTTTTTTTCCCTCCTTCCTTGGCCCCCTTGATTTGGTGCTTCTCATTTAACTTCCATATTATTTCTTTTTCAGCCTCCAGAGAAGGAAGGAGGGCTTCCTCGGCAGGTGGGCAAGAAGACAGAGTGTGGCTTACTGGGCTTTGTCGAAGACCTGAACCATGACTACTAGGCAATAAGGAACGAGATGCCAGAGGAGGAATTCTATGAAGTCTACACCTTCAATTCAGAGCGCAAATCAGTGAGCACAGTTATCCAGAACCCAGATGGGACTTTTCGAATGTACAGCAAGGAGGCTTCAGAGATGATCCTGAAAAAGTGAGCCATCCCATAGTTCAATTGACAAGGCCCTCCCTCCAGCAAACCTTCCATAGAGCTTTGTCCTAGTCCTTGGGCAGCTGGAGTCTTTACCCTGACTCTCTCCATGCCAAAGTGGGGTGTGGCCACATTCAAGCCACTGTTAACTCTCTAGGCCCTACCTTTCTCCATCTATTCAGTGGCATCCCCATCAGGACACAGAAGAAGAAAGAAAGATAAGACACAAGAGTTGAAAATATAGGAGCTAAAACAAGGGTTCTTGACCCTTTTTGGTGTCCCGGACTCCTTTCGCAGTCTGATGAAGCCTGTGAACCTCTTGTTATAATTGTGTTCTTAAGTCATAAAATAAAATACAGAGGATTCCAAAGGAAATCAATTATATTGAAATAAAGGTGTTATTTTTTCCCCCATCCAAGTTTATGGACCACTTGGAATCTCTCTATAGATCCTACCTGGGTTAACAAGCCCTGAGCTAGAGGGCCACCATCGTTATCCTAAACTCTCCCATGTTGGGTACAGTGTCTTTATGACAGGACACCTGGCTAAGAGTGCAATGGTTAAAGGTAGGGATGTCTCTGATGGTGGGGCCGTGAACAGCAGCCCTTCCCTCTCCCTCCTTTCCACTCATATATACTCCACTCCCTCCACTTAGATTTCCAGAACCCTTCTACAAGGAGTGCACAGCCCCTCTTCTGGGAGTCCTTTGAATTACACTGTGGTAGGGAGGAATTCTCTTTCCATTCATTGATGAGAAAAGCTTAATCACAGAGGGAAATTCTCCTTGGCCCCACTCCCTCTTCTATACAAAGCAGAGAATCTATCCTAATAATTGTTATTGATAATACCACCTACTTGAGGGGATATCGTTTTTATCCTAGCCTGTCTCAGTTCTGCCCCAGGTCAGAGCATGGACTAGGGGAGGATAGCAAAGATGACCACAAGAAAGCACCCCATAATAATGAATCTTTAAAACTGAGGTGAAAACAGGTTGCCAGTCTGCACTGGGGAGGGAATATCTGGATCAGAAGTGTCCTGTGATAATGAAATCACAAGTCTGGATCCTCTACACATCTCCCCCCACCCCCCCAAAAAAAAAAAAGAGAAGGCCCTCACATTTATATATTGCTTAAAGACTCACAAAAGAGTTTCCATTCAATAGCCCTGTTAGGTAAGTAGGTTACGTATTATTCTATTTTACATATTAAGACACTAAGGCTCAGAGGTTCTGGCTTGCCCAGGGTCACGAGCTAATCAATGTCAAAGCCTGGCCTCTAATTTAGATCTGAGTTCAAGACCAGTGTTCTTTCCAGCACACTAATGTAGCTCTCTTCTTTGATAATGAAAGGGAAGAAAAAGAGTGCAGATCAGCCCAAACCTCCAAGAAGCATTTTCTGGAGCTCACTGTGACTTCTTTTTTTCTCTTTGGTAATATGTTTATCTTTCTAAATATCTGGCTTAGGCTATAAAGTCACTCTGAGCCACTCCAGGGTTGGGGAATACGGCTGGGCAGAGGCATTCAAAATATTGAGGAAAGCCATCTTAGAAGGCTTAAAGACCCAGGATGAGGGGTCTGAAGACTAGAGTTTAGCTCCTCGGTGTTCAGTGCCAACCTCTGCAATGTATTTACTACCTGTGTAACCTGGGCAAGTCACTTTTCTTTCCACGCCTCATTCTCCTCATCTGTAAAATGGGGTGTTGCACTCTGGTCCCTTCCAGCCCTAATATTTCATGATTCTGTTGACATTTGTTGCACATACTTCATAAAGCAGCCAACCCAAAAACAGGTCTTTAAAGACTGATTGTGTAATTGAAACACCAGCAGCAAATTAGTTCATATAGCCAACTCCCCAGGAGTTTATTTAATCAGAAATGAAACTGAGGCTTCAAAACAGCAAATGAATCCAAAGAAACTGTCTTTGATAGACAGAGACAAACACAGAAGAACACATACGGAGAGAAAGATACTCACCTCTGTGACTATGCCATACCCCCACATCCCCAGAGATATGATTTACCGCCCAAACAGCTTCTATCCAGCTAGAAGCTGTAGAGTAGGGGCTCCTGACCTGGGGTCTATAGAGTCCCAAGGAGATCCACATATAAATTTCAGGAGATCCATAAGGTCCATGAACTTGGATGAGAAAACAATTACACCTTTGTTTTCACAATACTCAACTGAAATTGATCATTTCTTCAATGATTTAGAGACTCGATTCTGAGACAGGATCCAAAGGCTTCCCCAGATTGCCAAAGGGGTCCAGGTGAGGAAGCCTCGCTATAGAATTCACATAGGGAATGAAACTTATTGATACAGATAGCCATACTTGAATAGCAGTGATCTCAGCTGCTCCCTCCTCCAGTGTAGTATGTGAACTGGGCATCATGAGTCATCATGTCACCTCATGGCTAAACCGTTGGCAATAAGTAGCTCTAAGTTTTACTAAGCTGGTCAGCAGACAATGGGCATGGTCTTGTGTGGGGACTCTTGGAAGAGCCCTTCCAGCTTCATAGGACCTGTCAGAACTTGTGCTCTTGTCCTGGCAATGGCTTTGAAAACCTAGGATTACTTACATGTCCCAATCAGGAAATTAGAATAAGACTTATTGTAGAGGATAAACATCCATAGAATCAGACTTTATGGGATGCTACCACCTGACTCTACCTTTTCCTCAGGTGCCTCTTGATCCTGGACAAGAATGGGGACCCACACACGTTCAAGTCCAAAGAACAGGATAGTATGGCACGCTTTGTGATTGAGAAAATGGCCTGTGAGGGTCTTCGGACCATCTGTCTTGCTTACCGGGACTTTGAAGAGGAGCCTGACTGGGAAAATGAGTCTGAGGTTCTCGCTAAGCTGACCTGCATTGCTGTGGTTGGCATTGAAGACCCTGTGCGCCCAGAGGTAAGACCCATGCCCTAGCTGAGGGAGAGGGCATATAGGAGTCTTGCAAATAGGTATTGACATTTTTACTTAGCATGACCTAGTGACAAAGGTCTCAGGGTGTCACAATGACCTTGATTCTAGCTTTCTTTTTCACCATGTGACCTTAGGCAAATTAGCTATCTCAACCACCTCTCTCTTGGCCTCTTTTCCCCATTCTTTAAGAGGAGGTAATCTTATATCCGCTCTCATCACAGAAGGTACTGATGAATATTGAAGATGATATAGTTTGTGTTGGTGAGTAGTTTTATTGGTTTTGCTATCTGAGTAATGGGGAATAAAGAGGCTTAGGTGAATCCTGGAGTGGAACTGGGTACCAGTTTCACTCCTGCCTTGTCCACCTTAATTCATCAGCCTTCCACTTAGGCAGCTAAATAGAATAGAAGAGCCAGGAAGATCTGGGCTCAAATTTGGCCTCAGACACCTTCTAGCCCTGTGACCCTAGGCAAGCCGCTTAACCTTTGTCAACCTCAGTTTCTTTATCTGTAAAATGGGGATGATAACACCACTCAGCACCCCAGGGTTGTTGTGAGGATCAAATGAAATAGCATATTTAGAGTGCTTTGAAAACCTTAAAGCACCATATAAATGCTAGTTATTGTTTTTGTTGTTATTATTATCATAAGCAAGATTAAATACAGGTCTATTCTGTGACATTGGGTGCAAAGAGGAAAGCTGGTACTTTCCAGGTACTTTCCAGAGAAGAATGAACTTTACCCTGAATATGCTGGTGCTGCCAGAGGGGATGGTGAAGAAATGACTTCCAGCCAAGAAAGGGGACAGTGGGTTAGGTCCAGGGCAGGGTGCAAGTGCTAGCCTTGTTTTCTTGCTTTGGTCATCTTTGCAGGGGGCTCTTCTTCCCATGATGCCTCTGAACAGAAGTGACTTGCTTCACTGGGTGTAGCCACTACCTTTTCTTTATCTTCTCTCCTCTCCTCCACATATTTCCTAGGTACCTGCAGCCATCCACAAGTGCAAAGTGGCTGGCATCTCTGTTCGGATGCTGACAGGAGACAACATCAACACAGCCCGAGCTATTGCCGCTAAGTGTGGCATCCTGACTCCTGGTGAAGACTTCAGCTGCTTAGAGGGCAAAGAGTTCAACCAACTTATCCGAAATGAGAAGGGCAAGGTGGGTACTGGGACCCAGAGCATCTGGGGGTTGAGGCTGAGTGCCTGAGTAAAGAGGAAGATGGTTGAGCCTCTGTTTAACTGATCCACAGATTGGAGAAGACAAGTTGATTCTACTATTGCTTTTGAAAGCCAGAGTAGCCTGGATCAAAGGACTGTGGGCTCCCAGGGTGTATTAGAAGTCTTAAGTTCTAGCCAGAGATGGACTGTGTGCTCTTCAGTTAAGGGATTTGGGGGGGAGGTCTCCTTCATCCTTGACTGACCTATGGAGGATTGGGGTTGTTCATTGTTGACAGTGGATCAGGATCAGCTAGACATGATATGGCCCAAGCTTCGAGTGCTGGCACGATCGTCTCCTGCTGATAAGCATGTACTTGTGAAAGGTGAGACCTGCTGATACAGGCTTATGTAAATGAAAGAGCAGTGGGAATGAGCTGCAGCAGGAAGTCAGACCTCTGTCCCAGGCACCATTTGGTGGCAGATTCCTGTGCTAAGGGGAAAGTCATCAAGAAAAAAACATACTCTGCTTTGTTGGGAATCTCTAAATCTACTGGGGAATGTATAGTATATCCATAGACTTCAATTAATATAGAATGTTATGCTCTAGGGTCCCATTGGTTTTTCAGCCGTGAAGGCTACCGTAGCAATGCTGGTCAGGGTCCAGCCACAGAAAAGCCCAAGGCACACAGGGAAGAGAAGGGAAAGAAAGGTACAAGAAGACTGAAAAAGGGTGGCTGGGGTGGGACACCAAAAAAAGACTCCATGGATGGGAGTAGGCAGAATACTTGTGACTGCTGCACCTGGCATATGTGTGTTACAGGCATCATTGACAGCACTGTGGGAGACCAACGTCAGGTGGTGGCTGTTACTGGGGATGGTACCAATGATGGGCCCGCCTTGAAGAAAGCAGATGTCAGCTTTGCCATTTTAACCAATTTTCTCTTTGGCTCAAACTGCATTCTCCAAACTAGAAGCCAACACAGTTTCTGGTGCCCTTGCCACTTCAGTTTCCTCACCAACCCCCCTTCCTGTATGACCCTTCCCTAACTCTCCCTGTACCATATGATGTGGAGTGGAGGAAACTGGAGAGCAATTTGGAAAGGCCAGCTCCCAGTGAAGCAAAAACAATCATTTCAACTTGTAAATCACCTAGAAGCACCCCTGCTGCATGTGTGTGATGACACTGTACACCGTCCATTCATCCCACAATTATTTATAAAACATTGAATATCCAACCCTAGCTAGCCATTATGGTAAATACCAAGTATAAAAGAGTCTCTGTTCTTAGGAGCTTACGTTCTAGTTGGGAAAATAAAGGCATGTTGGTAAGAAGACTGCTAATAGTTCAAGGGATTAAGCCCCAAATGATTAGAGACAAGAATTGGGTTCTACCGTGGGTCAAGTAAGTGAGAAAGTGACTTATTGGATCAGGGCCTTCAGAGTCAGTGGAGATGTGGTGGGAGGGCAGAGGAAGAAATATGGGGTAAAAAGCATGACCAGGCAAACATATTTGAGAGACTAGTCTGCTTGAGTGGGAAGAGTGACAAGAATAATGAGAGGTTAGGTTACTAACTGGGGTCAAGTTCTAAAGAATCTTTAATGTTAAGCTTAGGACTTTAGGCTTCAAGTTTCATGACACATTTACTTTCCACATATCAGTCCCGTGTTCATAGCTCTCCATTGGCTTTCTCTTGCCCATGGAATACTCTGTCAGTGATGGGGGGAAGATGGGGAGAGGGCAGGGGGAGACCATACATAAGGATCTCTGAGGGCCATTTATTGACTTAGAAAACCAAATTATTACCTATATTCTATTGTATTTTTACTTATTTTGTTATATTTTCTCAATTATATTTTGATAGCTTATGTGGGCTACATGTTTGACACCTCTGGTATGCAGGGTGGATTGGAGGGGAAAAACTATAGGCAGGCTTGTGATGGGTTATGTGATAGAGTCTGGACCAGGGTGGTGGTGGGGGGGATGGGAAAGAAAGGGTAAGTGGCCATGCATGACACATATAACCAGGGACTTCCTTTACTCTTTCATATTCCTGAATGTAACCCTCAAGCAAAAAGCCCTGGGGAGACCAATGAACTGAAGATCCAGTCTGTTTAGCAAGCAAAAAAAGGGGAGTGTGTGCTGAGTTTATTCCTGAATTGATCAATAGCTTTCTCCTTTGACCCTTCTCTCTTTTCCTCATTGAGTCACTGCCCAAATAGAATCAGTTGCCAAGGTCTACCAGGTCTACCTCCATGCCTAGTCCAGTATCTCATTACTTCTACCTGGACTACTAGTTCCCATCTACCTGGCTGTCGTCTCTCTAATCTACCTTCATACAACTACTAAAATATCCTTCTAGAGGCATGAGTCTGACAATGTCATTCCCCTGCTCAAAAATTTTCAATGGCTTCCGATTGCCTAGAGAATAAAACACAAATTCTTTGTTTTAGGACTGGGCACTTAGGGTCTCCATATTCTTAACTCCAACTGCCTTCCGTGCTTTACTTCCCGTTACTTTGTCATAGTCAAACTGACCTACTGTTGCCTGACTCTGCAAGTTCACAGGCTTCTCCCTCTCAGAATCTTGCTAGTCCTTCCAAAGGTTCCATTACCTGGGCTTTATTAAAACTTGCCTCCTCTTCCCTGGCCCTCCACCCCCAGCTGAGTGTTCTCTCTCCCTCTTCCTAAGGAGTTTTCTGAATCTCTCTTTTGTCCCCATTGCTCCCTGTGCTCCACAGAATGTGAACTTGACAGGGAAAGCTTCCGTTTCATTTTTGTATCCCTGCACCTATCACACACCTGTATTGGGTAAAATTCGTTATTAATTTTATGAATTCTTCAGGCCTTGATCTTCCCCTTTGGAGAATGGACAACACTTCTTTCCCTTTTTCCATTAGAATGGAAACTCATTTTGAGTAGGGATCTTTCATTCTCTGTTCTTGGACCCCCAGTACTGGGGGATTAACAAATGCTCACTAATCTATTAGCTCACATCTACCACAGTGAAAGAACTCATCAGCCTTTTGGGAAGACTGTGTTCTTCTCCTAGCTCAATCACTAGCCTGTGTGCCCGGAGCGCCCTCTGGTGTCAGTGCCTGGTTCCACTTACAAGTGGAACCGTCTTACAAGTCAGACGGGTTTCATGGGATCACACATTCAGGGTGGAAAAGGAATGTAGAGGTCATAAAGTCCAAGCCCCTAATTTTACAGATGAGGAAACTGAGGCCCAGAGAGATGAAGTCACACAGCTAGTAAGTATCTGTTGGGATTTGAACTCTAGGTCCTTCAAATCTAGTGTTCTTTGTACTGTGTCACATTGCCTCAGATCCACTGGACTATGGGTCTATAGATTCATAAAATTATAGAATATTAGGGCTTGGAAGGAAATGAAGGACTATCTAGTCCAACACCAACATTTTACGTATGAGGAGAGTAGGACCTAGAATTAAGATGACTTACCTAAAGCCACACAGTTGACTAAGTAGCCATCTCTCCTGTCTGGTGTGTCTTCTATCCCACCACAAGGGTCCTGATAGGTTGTCCGGTTCCAGTCCTTCATTGCCTCCTTTTTCTTCCATCTCTCCTCTGCCCCACAGGGCATTGCAGGTACAGATGTGGCAAAGGAGGCATCAGACATCATTCTAACAGATGACAACTTTACCAGCATTGTTAAGGCAGTGATGTGGGGTCGAAATGTCTCTGATAGCATTTCCAAGTTTCTGCAGTTCCAGCTCACTGTCAGTGTGGTGATTGTGATTGTGGCCTTCACTGGGGCCTGTTTTACTCAGGTGCAGTGAGGGAGCTCAGTTGGGGGGATGGGTAAAAAGGTGGCTGGGAAATGGGAAGTAGGGCAGCTGAGAAGAATAAAGGAGAACACCATTGCTGTTAGGGCAGATGAGAAGCCCAGGCTACTTCTGGCCACTGACCTGCACTATGACATCTGCTATCCTTCGGAGGTCTTTGTGAAGAGCTCCAGTGATTAGAAACATGAGTTACTATGATTAAACACTTTATGGTTTACAAAACACTTTGCTTATACCAATGTAGTGAAAGCATATAATGAAGGCAGTCAGAAGAATATCACCCCCATCTTACACATAGAAGGCAAATGGAGATTCAGCAAAGTTACAAATGCCTTGTCCGTGCTCACTGGCTGGGAAGTGTTGGGACTAGAGCTTGGTTCCAGGTCTCCTACTGCCAATGTCTAGTGCTTCTTCTGTTTAAAAGAATAGGGATAGAAGGAAGACTGGGGCTGAAGAATGGGAAGGGTTTATGGAAAAAAAAAAGCTGAAAAGAAAAAATCCTCTTCTCCCTGCTAGGATTCCCCACTGAAAGCTGTGCAGATGTTGTGGGTGAACCTGATCATGGATACTTTTGCCTCCCTGGCCCTGGCTACCGAGTCACCCACGGAGTCGTTGCTGTTGAGACAATCCTACGGCCTCAATAAGCCACTGATCTCTAGGACTATGATGAAAAATATCCTGGGACATGCAATCTTCCAGCTTAGTGTCATCTTTACCCTTCCCTTAGTTGGTGAGCCAGGGCAGGGGTGAAGAAAGGAGCCCCGGACAGCGAGACTTTGGGGGAGTTCTTGAGAACTGGGGTCCTATGTTCTCATGGTTTCCCTTAATCCCCTCCCAACTTTGTCCTGTCTTCCCTACCTAGGTGAAAAGCTCTTTGACATCAACAGTGGGAGGAAAGCCCGCTTAAACGCCCCACCCTCCGAACACTATACCATTGTATTCAATACCTTTGTGCTAATGCAACTCTTCAATGAAATCAGTACCCGAAAAATCCAAGGTGAGAGGAATGTCTTTGCAGGCATGTACTGTCACCCCATCTTCTGTTCTGTGCTGCTGGGCACATTTATCACCCAGGTAAGACAAAGCTTGGATGGCAGGTCCCAGGGAGAGAGAGCAGGAAGGGGCCACCCAGGATGGTGTGGGGCTGAAGCTGGGAGCTTAGATATCCTAAATGTGGGACTCCATATCCTCCCTGAACCTAATACAGGAGGTGATCTGTGAATGAGGCTTGGGCTGTGGGTTAAAAATAACCTTGTGGATTTCCTTGATATCTCTGTTGGTCCATCATCGTGGAAATGGAATATGATCTTAGAAGTAAGTACAGAATGCAACAGTGCAATGAGATATAACATGAAGCTCCTGCCTTTATCATCATGCTAATTTAGGGGAGGAACTTAGTCCCTAAGGAAAGAGTTAGTATGATAGGTAAGAGGGATAACACCTTGGATAACACCTTTCTCTGAGATCCCACCTTTAACAGTGTTCACTCTGGGAATAAAAAGGCAGGCTTCTTCCCTCTCCATTTTGCCTGTGTGAGTGACATGGATTTCTAAGGTGCTGATTCTCATTATGTCCATGGCGTTAAACTCCTTAGGGAGGGCGGGGGGGGGGCAGGATGATTTCCCACAGGAAATCTTTGCAGAGTACTCGAAGCCAGGTGAAGTTGTTCTATTGACTCTAGCATCCCTATAACGCCCATGTTGATGGCTCTCTCTGTCCACTGCTAGATCTGTCCTCCCTCCTGTATCATGTGTGTATGCATGCACATGAGTGCATACGTGTATATGGTGTATATGTGTCCTGACTTTTCTCCATTAAATCTGAAATTCCCGAAAGACAAAGTTCTCTTTTTTCTGGATCTCCACTTATCCCAGTGCTCTCCTCTTTTCTTTCCCCTCTATCCTTTCTTCTGGCCACTTGAAACAGGTCTTTGTGTACTTGCTATAGGGTGTTTGACTGATGTGTTTGTGGTAGAGCTGGAGAAGAAGTCAGACAGCGTTGACTATAACAATTGGGGCTTATAGGATCATAAATTTAGAGGATTATAAGTTAAAGGAACCTTAAAGGTTGCCTCGTCCAGCCCCTTTATTTTACAGAGAAGGAAACTGAAGCAGAGACACGATAGTGTAGTAGGTAGAATATACCATATTTCCCCACATAATCATCACATATTTTATGCCAAATTTTTTTGCAAAAAAGTGGGGTACGACCATCATGTGAAACTTTTTTTTGATTGTGCTGGTATTACTTAAAAATCATTTATTACTAAACTGTCTTTGATGCAAGATTAGGATGCATGGAATACTCATGAATATATGTTAAAATTGAATACTGACGATGCACACGCGTGAGAATTCTAGGCTCTCGACTCACAATGCATGAGAGATAAATGCATATCGACATGCCACTGGTAAACACGTGGCTGCTAGGTTTACCTTTTAAGTGGCGTGAAGAACAGAATTATACCACATGACGATTATGCAATGAAGGTTATAAACCAATTTTGGGACTGAAAAAAATAGGATGTGACAATTATTCAGTGAAAACAGTACTGGATTTGGAATCAGGTAGCCCTGGGCCAAAATCTTTGCTCACCTAAGGGCATAAGGACTCAGTGGCCTTCTCGAGGCCTTTCCAGTTCTAAAGCTATGATCCTGTTGATCCTATTAAACCCAGAATGGTAAGTGACTTGCCTAAGGTCACACAGGCAGTAAGCGGATCTGCCCGTGCACTTTTTTAGTCAATGCTAGGGCTGACTTTAGGTCAAAAGAACGATGCTCAAACTCTGCCTTTGTGACCTTAGTTAGGTAAGTCACTCTCTGAGCCTCAGTTTACTCATCTGTAAAATGAAGGCATTGGACTAGTCGATTTCATTTCTCAATCTTTTAGAGTCCTGGCTCTGTCGCTTGTTAGCTATGTGATCATAAGCAAATCATTTCCCTCTCTTAAGGCTCAGCTTTCTCATCTCTAAAATGATGAAAAATACTTTCATGACCTACCTTACAAAGTTGTCATGAGGAAAGCACTTTGTAAACTGAGGGTTCTACATAAGCGAGAGCTGCCACTATTCTGCCACTCATCTCTGCTCTGGCGATGCCTCTTTTTTCTCACAGATCCTGATAGTGGAAGTCGGGGGCACACCCTTTAGCTGCACACACCTTTCCTTGAGCCAGTGGCTTTGGTGTCTTTTCATTGGGATTGGAGAGCTGCTTTGGGGCCAGGTGAGTCACTTCTTCATACACACACACACACACACACTCATCCTCACTATCTGCTTATCTAGTTTGAGGGCACTGACCTGCACTAGAAGGGCTCAGCCCCTCAGTTGCAATCATCAAGTATTAAGGGGTTTATTAAGCACTTTCTCTGTACTAGAGATAGTGGCAATTGCTAAGAAACATGATCACCGTCCTCAACATCATCTCTCTGGTTCCAGTAGTTTTGCTTGGGATTCTAAGTTTGCCATGCCATGCCATGCCATGCCTTGGCCTCCCCTAGAACCTTTGAAGGAAAGCACAATTTTATTATATTCTCATAATACAACTACTTTTGAAGAATACATGTGTGTGTGTGTGTGTGTGTGTGTGTGTGTGTGTGTGTGTAGGGAGGGGAGGAGGAAGAGAGAAAAGAAAGGAGAAGAGAAAAAGAGAGAAATGACCCAACTTCATCTACACTGTTTCTGTACTCTTTTTTGTATTTGTTTAAAATAAAACCCCATGGTTCAGTGTAAAGAACACTGAATCTGGAGTCAGAAGACCTGATTTCACATCTTACCTCTGACACTACCTGTGGGACCTTGGGGAAGTCACTTGCCTAGATCCAGTTTCCCCATCTGTAAAATGAGGTTCACTCTAGTTATAGATCTATGATCCTCTAAGTCCATATATTACAATAGAAAGACTACATAAGTCCTTTGTTAGAATACACGTGTATGAACAAGGAGGTGGAGACAGGGCCCTCAGGTACTCCTTAAAACCTCTTTGTTCTCTTGGAAGGTAGGAAGAGCCAGGCCAAAGAAGAAGTGAGGTATATGGGGTTGGAGGGAAGAAAATTAGAAGTGAGGTATGGAAGCAGAAAGTCCTTTTGGATGGGGGGTACCAAAAGGTAATAACAGGGTGTGCACCCCTATGTTTTGAAGAGTATCAAGAGCATGAAATCTTGAGGCCCTCAAAGCTAGCAATTTATTCTTCCCAATCACTAATTCTTTTTTTTTTTTTTTGGTTTGTTTGGTTGGGGTTTTTTTGGCTAGGCAATGGGGTTAATTGACTTGCCCAGGGTCACACAGCTAGTAAATGTTATGTGTCTGAGGCCTGATTTGAACTCAGGTCCTCCTGACTCCAGGGCCAGCGTGGCCACCTCGCTGCCCTTCCCAGCACTAATTCTTCTACACGGTACCGGTACTGACTAGGGGAGAAGTCCTCACTCTTCTGCTTAGGTCCAGCATGACCTTGCATGACTTCACTTCTCTCTTCTCAATTTCCTCATCCTGTGACCAAACCCATCATACTTTAGCCCAAGATATAGTCAGGTTGGCCCAGCTGTTAAGTGTGCTGAGATTCTTGGCCCCTTCCCTATGTCTGTCTTCTTCCAGTTATGGACCCTTGGGTCATGACCTCTGGCTTGAGCCAAACTGCACTTCCACCTTTATCCTTAAGGTCCTTGCTAGCTCCTAGCTGAGGGAGGTACCAAAGATTCTTCCACTCTACTTGGTACTGAAGATTCTTCCACTAGACTGTAGACTTTGTTCCACTGACTTAGCAGTTGCCTCCTTTCCCAGTCTCGTGGAGGTCCCTTGTTCTGGGCCGTGGAAGTCTTGCCCTCACCCCTGAACCCCTGACCCATTTCTCTGTTCAGTTTGCCTGAAGCTCATTCACTAGCCAGTCACTAAACCCAGGTCTGTATTTTGAGATGGCCACTATCTGCACTATCATCTCTGTGCAGGTGAGTCTGAGCTCAGGATAGCAGCACCACCTACTTATTGGATATCCCAAAGGCTTCTCAAATTCATTGTGTTCAAAACAGAAGACTCTCTCCCTTCCTCTCCCTTCCCTGTTTTTAGTTGCCCAGATACACAACCTCAATGTCAGCCTTTACCTCTACTCTCCCTCACTTCTCATCCAATCAATTGCCAACTATTGTCTTTTCTGTCTTCCCAGCATCTCGTGTATTCATATCCTTCTCTCCATGCATCACCTAGTTCAGGCTCTCATCACCTCTTGCCTGGATCATTATCGTGACCTCCTAACTGGTCTCCTCGCCTCCACATAGCTGTCAGAGTGATTTTCCTAAATTTTAGGTTTGAATCCAAGATTGATACTGTCATTGGAAAGGGGTTTGGAGTGGGGCCTTGGAAATTAACTGCAGCAGGTAGCAGAAAAGGAATGATTAAGTTGAGGTTGGCAGAGAAACAGTAAGCCCACCCACTAGAACAAGCTTTGGGAAAGAAGACAGAAGAGGAACCCCAGGAATCATTGATGCCACAGATGGGCCCAGGAAAGGAGTTCAGAGGTACTTTAGAGGGAAGCATTTAATAAATTTTATAGCCAGATCCATATGAGACTTAAGTTTAGAATGAAGCCAATTAGAAATTAGACAAATACTGGTTTATATCTTTGTACCAACCGCTATTTTGAATGTTAGTACAGATTAGATGGTTTTATAAGCTTAAAGAACCAAATGGGGGAAGAACATTTATTTACCTTTCCACGGGAAGCTAATGAGTGATGAATTGTAGCAATAAATATTCTTTTTCTACAAGATACCTTATTCCAGGAGCATCATTGTGCAGCATCAGCGTCAGGAGCTACATAAGGGAGGGAATTTTGATCTGTCATCAAGGCAGTGAAAAGTCTCCTTTCTTGGCAATGGAACTCCAGAAACATATCTGAACCTACTTACACAAAATGATAGACAATTAAACCTTATGCTTTGTTTCCCTGCCCACTCATGTCCAATTCTCAGATTTATCTGTAACCTGAGCTTTTGCCTAACTTAAGAGATTTCACCTCTCTCATTGTCCCCATCCCTACAGCTAATCAACACAGTGCCTACTTCAAGACTGACTTTCTTGAAGGAGGCTGGGCATGCCACCACCAAAGAAGAAATCACCGAGAAAAACCTGGCTGAGGGACTAGAGGAAATTGACCATGGAGAAATGGAGCTGCGCCGTGGCCAGATTCTCTGGTTCCGGGGCCTGAATCGCATCCAGACTCAGGTACAATGTTGGGAACCTACCCTTCATCGATGACTTGGAGGAAATTCTTTCCAGACCAAGGATGATAGTGAAGGAAGGTAGTAGCATTTAAGCTGGAACACCCTCACCCATATCCACACACCTAATGAAAAGGCTAGCAAGCAAGCCCTCCATCCATGTGTTCAGGACTGAGTATCTAGGATATAAGGTGGCCCAGGTTTGGGACACTCAAGTATTGCTACATTTTTTGGTTAGCAGGGTAGCCCTAGGATAGGCAGTGTTCATCCCCCCTCCAGAAAACTCAAATATGATGACAGAATCCCTGTCAGATCCTTACCAAGTCTCCTTTTCTAAGCCACTGCCACTTTTTTTTTAATCTAACTTTTTTTTAAATTTTATTTATTTATTTTGATTTATCAACAATCACTTCCATATGCTTTTGAGTTGAAAATTTTTCTCCCCCTCCCTCCCCCCCCACCCTCCCCAAGACGGCGCACAATCTGATATAGGTTTTACATTTACATACCCATTAAACATATTTTCACATTAGTGAAGTTGTAAGTAAAAATTAAAACCAATCCACTGCCACTTTTTTCCCTGCCATGACAGTAGGGTGAGGAAAAGGACGAGCAGGGGAAAGCTCGGCCAGAGCCCAGCCCCATCCCCCATCCCCTGTCTTTCCCTTACTAACTTTAATTTTATAGTGAGAGATGTGCGGGGTGCAGGGGAGTAAAGAGCTATCTCTTCATGACTAAGTTTCTTTTGCAGGAGCAAAACTTGCCACCAGGAAGAGGAGAGGCCAGCTTCCTTTGGTGCTCTATTCATCTCCCTGCCCTTATTACAACCTCAGCTCCTTCCCTCAGCCTAGCAGGGACATCAGCCAGTAGTTACCTAGTGATTTCCCTATCTTCATTCAGCCAGTTCTAGGAATTGGCAGTGCCCATCAAGGGCACCCAAGTGACCCTATTCATACCATTTTCCAAATCAGCTCATGAGACCTAAGCAGTTAAACAACCTTTCAATTAGTCTTATGGTTTAGAAATGCCCCAGTCTGCCTTACCCACAGAACACCAACTTGGTGATATTGGTATTTTGAACTATGCCTGGCAAAAGACGACTCTCCCCATGAGCAAAGACCTGGTCTCCAGGCTGGTGACATAGTTGGCTTTTATGAGACCCCAAATCCCTTCCCTTCCTTGCATCTTCAGAGCCTTGAGAGCCAAAACCCTGGTCCCCAGGTGTTTGGGGTGCCTCCGCTGAGGCGTTCAATGCTTTCCTCTGGCTCTGCACTTTTCGAAATAACCTAGGTTTTTGCTTTTCCTCCAGAGTCTCCAGCCTCCTCTTCTCCTAGCTGGACTCCTTTGTTGCAGCATCTCTCAGTTCCTACCAACTCTGCTCTTGTGGCCTAGGGTTTCTAGGTTTTCCTCTTTACCCTTATTCTCCCCCTTATTGCCTCCAAGCCTCAATATATACATTTTTATATTTGGTGTGACCTCCCATCTGAACTCTGGTTATCCTGGCATCCTTTGAAGGGTGATAAGGGAATATGAATCTATATAGATATACTTGTGTATATGTGTGTGTGTGTGTGTGTGTATATATATATATATATATATATATATATATACACACATATATATATATACACATAAAGTTACATGTAGCCTCAAAAGCTGATCTCTGAGTCAGGAAGCTCTGGGTTCTCTATTCCTTCTTCCAGCATATTCAGGCTGTTTGACTTTGGACAAATCACTTAACCTTATATAGAGAGAGAGAGTCAGGCCAAAATCCCTGGACATCTCCCCTCCTTCTTGTTTTACAACTCAGAGGCTGCCTGGCTCACTGATTCTGTAGCTTTTTGGACATCGCAGCAAACTCATCATAACGGAAACAGATTATTCCAATGTGTACTGAGCTTTGCAAGCAGAGTGGTTAAAACACGTCTACCTTTGTTCATAATAGCTAAAGGTTTCTCAGAATTACAATACAATCACCTTTTCCAACTTCATTAGGGCATTGTCAGTGGGTCCTACTCTCAGCCTGTTAATTCGCCACTCATCCCCATCCTGGCTGGAACATTTGATTAAGGAATGTAAGGGCCCCCGTTGGGGGAAGGGGGGTAGCTACTAAAATGACCCTGATTTTAGTCTGGATTCCCACATTCTCTGATGCTAAGTTACCCCTCCTTCCCCATCCTTTCCTATGATTATCAAGTCACTAGAATCACTGGAGGGCTGGAACACTTGAGCACTGAGGAACAGAGCCTCAGAGGAGGCAGCTGGGCTCCAGCTACACTGGGAGATTTTGAGCCTCTACACGATGTGAACAACAGGGAATAATGCCTTATGATCATCCTAGTCTGGACATGCTGTCACAGAAGGGGTTAGCTGTGTAGAGCCATCCCTGGACACCCTACTCCCACGTGATAGGGAGGGACCATCTGTGCTTGCCCTAACCCATTCAGAGCCAATGGAGAATCAGGTCCCTGATGTGATGCAAGAAAAGATGTGTAAACTGGGTAGGGTAGTGGAAAGGATGATGTTCTCAAACAACCCCCTGAATAAGAATGACTAATCGACCCGAAAGCAGTCAGCCCCTTTGCTCTCCCAACTTCCCCATCCCCTGGGAAAGTGTCATGGGGAATAAAATGAAGGAAACCAGACCCTCTTCTAGTCCTTTGGTAGATTTGGGGAAGGAAGTGACATGACTGCTTTCCAGGCTGTTCTACAGAGTATAAACCTTGTATAGTATATAGACTTGTGTACACATTTTGGGGGTTGGAGGGTGGTGCTTTCCCACAACTCTGGTTTTTGGTCTTTACCTGTGCCCAACAGTAGGATGGTTTGGGGGGGAGGGTTGATGGGACCAAATGGGAGGGGAATGAGTCCTGCCTATCATTGGGCTGACAATGTGGGATGCCAGAAGGGCAGAAGAACTGATGGTATTAATTAACACCCTCTGTCTCTAAGGGGCAAAGCAATTTGGAAACCAAATATTCTCCTTACGTAGGGCCAGAGTAACAGTTGTTCACCACCACCACCTAGTCTACCACCTCCTCTCCTTTCCCTTTCTCAGTTTGACCCACAATTTATTCCCAGCACCTGCCAGCCATGATCCTTGCAGCACTGGCCTGGCTGTGGCCACCTCTGTAGAATGGTCTGGCTTTGTTTCTAAGCTGAAACTATTTGTGCCTCCCTGCAAGTTCAGTCCCAAAAAAGGCTGACTGGGAGAAGAAAGCACGGTGTTAGGAGATGGGTCCAACAATTGAAAGGCAGCATAATGTCACATTCTGCACTGATTTTGAAACTTAGCCCTCTGTACCTTTGTGGCCCTCAGTTTCCTCATCTGTAAAATTGGGGGATGAGATGACTCCCTAGTCAATACTTCTATGATCAACCTGTTGATGAGGGATCTTCCCACTAGGGCTGCCTCTATGCCTATTGGCAATAAAATTCCTTTTTGTTTTTCCCCAGTGCCATGGATCTTTCACTGGCAAATCTATGAAAATAAGCATTGTTTTGTTTTTGTTTGGCTATCCCAGACATCAGAACTCAGCTGAACTTATCCCTGTCTCTGAAGCTGTGCCTTAATTTTGAGCATTTGGGTCACTGAGATCTATGTCACCATTCTGTACCGGCTTTCCCTGCTCCCCACCCTCCAGTTCTTCTTTTGGGGTAATTCTTTGTGCTCAGGGAGACAAGTAAACAAAGGAAGTCTGCTGTGTCCTTGTCTCAGCTTAAAGAGAGGGAAAGATGGAACTTTAGTTTGGTTTTTGGACTTCATGGCAAACCAGATTTTGAGTAATCTCCATTGCGTTTTCCTTTCTCTTCCTTGTGACAGTTCTGGGGGGGGGGGCTCACTTTCTGTCTCCTGCTTCCCTCACTTTTTTACCCTTGTTCCCTTCCTGACCCCTCAAACTCCCGGGGCCTTCCTGGAGCAAAGATATTTCACTCTCTGATTCTTTGCAGATCGAGGTAGTTAACACATTCCAGATGGCAGTCGGCTCTTATCACAGAGCCCTGAGGAGACAGAACACCACGAGTCTGCAAGATATAAAACCTGTTTGTACCCCAACTCTTGTAAATCTTTCTCCAGACAATTCTACTCCCAACACTTCTGTTCCTGCATCTTCTTCTATGGGCAGTGAGTTATAGTCTATTATGATGCATGATTTGCTAAAATGACCACATGAGAGCGGGTAGGATACACTTTAACCAACTTCAGTTTTCTCTTCCTTTTGGTTTTTCCCTTCATCTTTTGACTTGAGAGAGGGAAGGAAAAAAAATCCAACCCACCCCCAAACCAACCAGACTGTTTGACTTTATTTTTCACTTTTGAAAAGCCACTGCTTGGGGCAGCAAGGTGGCGCAGTGGATAAAGCACCGGCCCTGGAGTCAGGAGGACTCTGAGTTCAAATCTGGCCTCAGACACATGACACTTCCTAGCTGTGTGACTCTGGGCAAGTCACTTAACACCAATTGCCTCACCAAAAAAATAAATAAAAATAAAAAGCCATTGCTTCTTTACCATTACAAAATAAAAACCATAATAATAATAATAATCCTATCTTCTGGTTGTTGTTCTACATTGCTTATTCCTTGTTTTTCTTGGGTTTTTCTTCCTTTTCCCTCCCCACCTCCCTCCACCCCACTTCCCACCCTTCTTGGCAGGAACAGTATGATTCTCACTCTAAGAAATAGGCCCAAGATTAAGACACCTGGGGACCTTACTTTATTGTGTCCGCTGGGAAAAATGTTTTGAGAAGCTTGAGGAAGGGGGCAGGGTAGAGAGAGAGCTACTGTAGTTCTTATATTTGTTACTAAACTTTGGTAATGTAATTGAGTTTGGCCATCAGTAAGAAATGAGTCCTCTCACCACCACTGTCTCCTGAGGTGGAAATATCAGTTTAAAGTGTGTAGCTGACATGGGAAAACAGTGAGTGATGCCAAATTGTACTGTGGCCCCACCTTGCCATTTCTGATTTACTTTTCTGAAGCCTAATTAGGCTCAATCCTGGTAGAAATATCAAGCAAATTATATTCTGCTGGATAGAGTGGAATAGGGGCATTGATTGTCTTAGGGCCTCTACATTATTGGTGAGTTTCCTCTGTGAGTTATCTGTGCTTTTTTTCCTGCTTCGTCCGTCACTGCCATTCTCAGCACAGATAACTGGCTTGTCTGGATTTCTTTTCGGGGAGCCAGCAGGAGCTGCCCCTGTGTGTTCTGCATTTCTATGTGGCCCCCTAAGATTAAGCAGCAGAACCAAACATAACCCTCAAGTCAAAAAACAAGTCAGACTCAGCTGACATGCAAAGAATGCCAACCCTTCCCTCTCTCCTCTACTCTCCTCTACTATTTCCCTCCCCAGGAATGACCCTCCCCCTCTTAGGTCTCTGTCCTTCCTCTCTGCCTCTTGGTGAGAAGGTCTGAAGTTAACCTCTAGCTGACTATAGTTTGGACAGAGACCTTATGGGATCTAATGGGAGGGGTAGACTTGGGGATCTAAGAATCAATCAAGGGAAATAGGAGGAGTGGGTTGGTATTAGCTAAGTTTGTCCAACAGCTCTCACTTTGGGTTCTGATGAGTTGGATTTTAGTTACCCTTCTCTTTTTTAAAGTAGTGCTACCCTTCATGGGAGCCTCAATTTGGGAAGTCTCCATTTCCCCCAGCCTCATTTGGGAAGACTTCCAGGGACTGGCGAAGATGAAGAAGGCTTTAATCTTTTCTCTTCCCCATCACTCTTTGCCATCTCATTTCAATTTCTAGAAGGAAACAAAACAGCAACTGAGGAAATAGTGGTGGCCATCTACTTCCTATGCATCTGGAAGAGTAGGCCATCAGATTTGGGGAATGATATTCTTCCCTTCATAATGAGCTATAACAAGGCCTTGCTTACTTGCTGGTCAGCAGAGGCCTATCCTAGTTGGGGCTTATGGAAAAAGACTTCCCATATTCAACCTGCTCCCCTTCCCCTCCCCAAGGGATAGATAGTCTAAAGAAGATGGGATTGGGGCAAGAGAAGCAAACCCTATTTCTCTTTAACTCCCATGGGTATGGGCTGTGAAGGGGAAGGGAGGGAGGGAAGACTGTTTAGGTGGAAAGTGCCTACAGCTGCCACAGCGTCTGCTTCACTGGCTGTGTCTTGCACCCTCCCCCACCCCATACACACACACATGCTGCTCACACACAGGGGTACCGTGCATCAGATGTTGGGAGATGCTTGGGGATGGTTTGCATTGTGATTGGCAGTTCTTGTATGTGTGGTTGAAGTAAGGTGTCATACTCGGATATAGGATGAGTTCTGGGATGGGCCTCCACCACCAAGCACTTACTAACTTTCTTCATGGGTCTGCTCCTTCCCCAAGTTTCCCTTGCAGGTGGTTGGTATCCCCCTGGATTTCAGGAGACCTGCAGTCTGGCTGAGTGGTTGCTTCTTATTCCCCCAAAGAAATTCCTTTTCTATTTTAGACATTCTATCCTCCTCACTCTCCATCTCTTGTCATCCATTACACAGAGGCTGCTGGACATGTGGCACATAAGTAAATGCATCTTACACTTCTCCTGACTCCTTTGGGAGTGTAGAGCTCTCTGGAGCACACAGGGGTTCCATCCATGTCTCCTACAGGGTGCTGAAGCTTGCACTTGACCCATGTATGTCAGCAGCAGAGAAGGGTCCTATCTAACCCATCAGGCCTTACTCTATAAGCTTTGGTACAAGTAATCCACCCCAGGAACCTCTCAAGGACCAGGAAATGCCAGGGACATGAAGGTAGAAAAAGAGGGAGCTTATAACCTACCTTGAACTCTCAGGTCTGAGGCAAAGAACCATTCATTTAGAGGTTCAATGGGTAGGGCTGGGGAGGTTGAGATGGCAAAGGCCTCCCCCTCAGCCTTCATTTTGTGCGTTTCTTTGACTCTCCTGGGCCAAGACGTTAAGTTGGTTCTATTGTATGGAAAAGAGCCTCTTAGCTTTCAGAGCTATAGACAAGGTTGTTTGGGTAAGGGGAGGGGAAACCTTGGTCATTAACTTCAGCCCTGTCTGCTGAGGCCAGGCAGAACAGGTGATGTCACCTCTTACCAGTTTCAGTTTGAGGGCAGATGTATACGTGCAGAGAAGATTTTGAGAAACCTGAAACCTGAAGCTTCATGTATACATGAAGAGACAGATAACCTATTAGCAGATTAATTTACCCAATTGGATGTCATCTAGTCTCCCAAATCACTTTCTGTTGCCTTCTCTTGAGGACCTCAGCTTTGCCTAGGGTGGCAGGAGAAAATAGTTTCCTCCACATCTGTGCTTCTTTGTCCCCGACCCCCAGCCCAGCCATCATTTATCTTGCCCTTATAAGGTGAAAAGAATCACAGGTATCCAGAACAGACTCAGTAGGGCCCCAACATCCGGAATTACCTGCCCCTTGGGGTAAGACCAGTGAAAGCTTTAGCTCACATTCTTCTGCAGTATCCACTGAGCAGGCCTCACAGTAGAGGTGGCTTCTGCCGTGCCAGGTGGCTGCTTGTGTGATGAAGAATGGGGAGACAGCCCCAGGAGAACAGAGCCTCATCTCCAGCCCAGACCCAGCCTCTGTGGCAGGTTTTGGAGGTTCTCCAGCTCTGCCCTGCCCCACCCCACCCCAAGTTCTCCCAGATGGCCATGAAGGCAGGGACAGAGGGCGGGGGGCAGAGGGCTGGCAAGCAAGCAGAGCCAGGCTCCCCCACGCCCCGTGATACTCATGAAGGGAAGGGGGGAGACCTTGCTCCCCCCCTCTCCTCGATTGCTGCTCCTGGACCTGCCACCTCAAAAGGAGATCCAAGAGCTGGCTCTGGGTGGGGGGGGAGGTCGTTCCAAGGTCCTCTGCTGGTGGGCAAGGCTGCCTACATCAGCCCTCTTCTTCCCATCCCTCCCTCTTTCCTTGTCTCCCTCAGGCCAGGGCTGGACCTAGCTAGGAGCTCACACCCAGTCTAAGAGCCTTCTTCCTCTTCCTCTAATTCCTTTCTCTTCCCCCTTTTCTTCCTCCCCCTCTTTTTCCTCCTCTTACTTCCTTCTCTTCCTCCTCCTCTTCTCTTCTTCCTCCTCCTCTTCCTCCTTTCTTCTCTGCCACCTCTCTCTCTAGTTCTTTCCTCCCTCCATGGTATCACTTTCTTTTCCCTCCCTTTTTCCTACAGGCAGCAGCTCTTCCTGAGGACCAGTTTCTTAGTTGCTTGTGTCCCCACATCTCAGCCCCCTCCTCCCTGAGCTAGATCTTCCTTTGGACAGTAGAGCCCCACTTCTTGGGGCGGGGGGCGGGGTGGGGCAGGGCCAGACTAGCGTGTGGATGTGTGTGTGTGTGTGTGTGTGTGTGTGTGTGTGTGGATGCGTGTGCACAATGTGCCCAAACCCTGACTCATTGCCTGGCTTGTCCTTGCTGCATGGCATGTGGAGTTCACTGTTGTCACCCCAAAATGTGTGTACACAGATCTGTGGGTCGGTTCTTTGCAGGCTCTGAATAGAGATGTGTCTGATTTAAAACACAGAGGGATATTTCCTATTTTCCCTCCACCAGATGTTTGCCTATAGCACCAATCCACATATCTAAATCATTTCTCTATTATTTGATTTCTACTTCCTTCCCATGTACGTTAAAAAATTAATGCTTTTTTTTTTAACTTTTGTTTCAATCTGAGTGGTTTGTTTGGGAATGTCACATTTGTGGTAGATTTCTACTTTTTTTATGAAGCTTTTGAAATGTCACAGTTGGGTTGCCATCACTCTTTACCCCACTCCACTGCCATTATTGAATTTTGAACCATATGATAATTTATTTCTAGTGTTCCATGATGTCCTTATTGTAGATTTATTTTTAGCTTTTGTTCAGTGGTGTTATATGTTATTCATTGTGTTTCTCCCTTCAAGAATCCAATTCTTCTACAGGTTTATCTCACTTCTGTGTTTTCTCCTCCTTCCTTCCTTCCTTCCTTCTTTCCTGGTATAGATCAAAGTCGTGAAAGCATTCCGTAGCTCCCTCTTTGAAGGCCTTGAGAAACCTGGAACCCGAAGCTGTATTCATAACTTCATGACTCATCCCGAGTTCACCCTGGAAGAAGATGAGCCAACAACGCCACTCCTGGATGGTAGCGAGGTTGAAGATAGCAAAGAGCCTGGGACAGACAGATTCCCCAAGGCTACTGGGAGCAAAGAAGCCCCATCTTTTCTATCCAGCAGTGAAAACTGCAATACTTTGGACTCTAGCCCAGTGCATATCACAGCATCCGACTCAGACAGCACCTTACACAGCCTGGAGACATCGGTTTGACCCTTAGAACTCTGACTTCCATCCCTGATTTCTTCCATTTCCTCCCTTATCTGCCCCTTCCGTGTGATATCCATGTGATAATAGAATTTTTTATTGTCATGTCAACTGCTCCTGTGTGTGCACCATGAGTGGATTCTCACCCAACCATTAGAGGCAAGAGCAGACACATTCAGGGATGCCCAATTGAACTTTGAATTGGTGTTTGGGGTCAGGGGCTTCATAGCTGATGCAAGCAGTGCTGGGGTCTCCTCATGTTGGGCTCTGTAAATCAACAGTGGTTTTTGTTAGTATGTTTTAAAGAAAGGCAACAGCCCTTGTCAGCCCCCAAAATAATTTCCTGTGTTTGTAGGCATAGAACACAGGAAAACCTCTTGGCTCCTATGAGGCAGTGTGAGCTGTTAGCTAAACAAGGATGCAGAAGGAGAAAAAAAATATCTAAAAGGAAATATATAGGATTGGGGTGGGAAGGGAGGGGGGAATGGGATTTGTAGAATCAGCCTATAGATGATGATTGCTTTTAAATAAGTCTTCCATTTTGAAAATTTCTGCTTAAGCTCTTTAGCTCTTTAAGACCTTCCTTACCTATCTCTTGTGAGTTCTTTTTATCCCTTTCCTCCCCTCTTCCCTACCTCTTCTCTTAGTGGTAATAAGAGAGTAGGGAAAATGCTGAGTGAATTGAGTGACCAGGTCACAGGTTGGTTTGCCTCGGTTTGACTGAACTCCCTTCTGCCTCTGGAGCCAAGGGAGACTTCAGTTCTGGTTTGTGGAACCAGTTTTGGTCCTGAAAGGATTCCATTTGAACAGTAAAGTACAAGCAATTTGGGTGTGTTGTATGTATGTGTTTGCCCTGTTGGTGTAATGTGCCTTCTTCTGGAAACTTCCATGTGGTCAGAAAGGGGAGAGGCCAGTTTTTAAATGTCAAAGAAAAAAGCCTTGACTTTGGAGGGAGCCATGCTTTGAGTGGTAGGTAGTGTTTGCTGGGATCTGAGCAGAGGGAGTGAGCTGGATCTGACTTTGCTCCAGCTGGACACATATGAGGGACCAGAAACTGGCAGGTCTTGGGCAAGACAAGCCATTAGAGTAGAGATAATCATATTGGGTCTTCTATCTAGCACAACCCTTGGTACTTGCAAAGCAGTCTGCCGAGGCTCTGCTATCTCAGGGTGTCAGGATGGGTAAGGAGGTCAGTGTTTAAGGAGCTCTCAGGAGAGGCTGAGGAAAGTTGTTCAAGTCAGAGCCTGGGCAGGCCTTGCTTCACAGTGTTCAGAAGATCAGGGCCTGACTGCCTAATTACCAGCTTAGACTCCTCTATGATTTACTAAGTCTGTTTACTTGCAGTCCTGTGCTCTCTGAGGAGTCTCCAGCACACCCCAGAACTTAGCTTAAAAACTACCTATTATCAACTAGGTGCTCCAGTAGATTTGGCTAATTAAGGCAGCAAGAGAAGCTCACCCTCTCACCCTTGGTTCTCCACACACACCCCCCCCACCCCCATGACCTTTTCCAGCAATGAGCTCTAATTGCTGCTACCCAGTAAAGCCCTGTGCCTTCCCCCCCACCCCCCACTGCCCAAAGCCTCCCCTTCCAGCCTGCCACTTGGGAGGTGGAGGCTTTGCTGAGAGATTTTTTCTAAGTGTTTCTTAACAAAGATGAGATTGGAGCCGTGCTTTCTGGGAACTCCATTTTTGTTCCTGCTGACAGTGATGGATGCTTTTCGGGGGGGGGGAAGGTAGGGGGGGACCTCAAAGCTCTAGTAAACTGCCAAATCACCGAATGCTTTTCTAATTATGAGGAGGCTCCTCCTGCCCCAGCCCTTCCTCCAGAATACCTCTCTGCCAGTTTTCACTTGAGTGAGATAAGGAAATAAAACATTGCTTACTCATGACTACATCCCCCAACACTACATAATCCATCAACCTATGAAATAAAAGGAACTTTGGTTTGGTTTTTAAAGGTTACGTGCTTCAGCGATCATTTTTCCTATATTGAATGAAAGTGGAAAAAAGCTCAGCTCACCCAAGGTGGAGTTAGAAGCTCAAATATATGTGTGTATATATGTATACATATGTATTAAAAATACATTGGGAGATACTGATTTAGTTGTCAAATCTTATACCTCAGATATGTTTAAAAACAACTCTGGAGGCTACTTTACCATGTTCATTCCCTAAAGACTTTCTAGGTGCCTGACAGGTTACCCTTGAGGGCCTTGTCTGCTTTCCAAAGGCAAAGGGTTTTTTTGTGTTCTAATTTCCATAGTACAAGAGAAAATATATAAATGTTCAAATACATATAGTTTTCTTTAGATCAGAAACTGATATTTTTGAGTCAGCCGTATGTATTTTGTTTAAAAGGATTAAAAATAAAGAGCTGTCATGTGGCCCAGCTGAAGGGCTCATGCAAACCAGCTGTTTGCTGTGACAGGTGACTTAGTATATATCTTTGATGGGTTCTAAAGGCCAATAAATTACTTCCTTTCTCCAAACAGCCATCTTTGTACTTAAGAAAAAAGAAAAAAAAATTAGTTGGGTTCTAGAGAGATGTTTTTTATATAAATTGTATTGATATGGCTGGTTGAGTAAGTTTAAGCATTTGTGTGCATACTTTTTTATGTAAAATTATTTTCAGTTTAGTTTCAGTGATACAACTGGCAACAGGTCAATGTGGTTTAAGTTATTCAAGAAAATTCCCTCCCTCCCTTCCCCACCAAAAAATAAAATGGTGCTTTAGATTTGAAATGGGTAGTGTAGGGTGGAAAGGGATGGGGAAGAGTGAGGCTTCCATTTTAGATTCCTCTCTAGATAGGTCATGAAGCATAAGGAGGGGGATTAGTCTGCTAATGGAAAGGGAAGACAATTAGCAAGAAGCCCTGTGCCAGACGGGAGGTGAACTTCTACCCCCAGTAGTCAATTGGGTTGTCCACTCCTCTCACAGTTTTCAGAAGTCAGGGGCCCCTTGCTGGGCTGCAATTGGCAGATTGGTACCAAAGACATTGACATCTCTTCTAGTCTGTGAGGGTGATCTCTCTTTTAGAGTTTACAACTTCTGTGGTCTTTTCCTGCTTGCATATCTGAGTTTTAACATTAATAGAGAGGGTTTTTAACATGGGAATCTGAATGCTTTCCCCCAAAAAGGTTTTGTGCTTGACAAGGAAGGAAATATCTACCCCAAACGGGAAAAACAAAAACTGGTTCTAGTCATGGCTGTCAGTCTTGGGGAACTGTCTGGACAGGACTCTCCCCTGTCATCTATGACCCTCTTCCTCACGACCCAAGTCAAAGAAGGGAAAGTTTATACAGTAGAATTTCAAACCACTAAAATTTAGAAAAGGCCTTAGCACATGGAGCTCACATGTACCATGAGACCTCCTACATGAGTCCCATTTCCTAGCAGTCAGTGGCACCATTCCCAAATATCCCTGGTCCCACACCCACCCCCTACGTCTTAAGGGACATCTCACTGTAGCAAGAGGGGGTTACCTGTAAACCTTATCCTTCAATCATTCCAAGTTTCTTTCCCTTTTAATAGACAAAATCCCTTTACTTAGCTCACTACCATGTCCGTCTTAATTTTGCCCTTTGTCAGCCCTACCACACCATCTTCCCTTCCTAGGTGAAGTTTCCTAAGAGGAAGATGTATGAAGATGAGCTCAGGTCACTCTCCCATAACTAAATGGGCCTTGATAAACATTTTCCATATCTATACATATATATGCATATATATATTATGTGTGTGTGTGTGTGTATATATATATATATGACATATATATATATATATGTATATATATGACATATATATGTGTGTTTGCCAATGAATCTAATTCTTAAGGTCTTTCTTTTGCAAGCAGCATGCAAATAGGAGTTCTGAGTTTCTTTTTTTCCCCAGTAACTCATAGCAAGCACTGGTATTTTTGTATAAAAAGCAAAAAATAAAATAAACAAAACAAGAGATTAAGTATTTGTGGTATGCATGACATAAAAAGTAAATGGTGGTTTCAAAGCAGTATGTACCCTGGTGTGTGTGGCCATATTCTGCAGTTCTGCTTAACAGTACACCCAGTCTGTACCTGCACTCTGATATTATTTAAGCTCTATGTACGATGTTTTGCATGTATTTATATGGTTCTTGGGGAAAAAAATGGAACGAACTGTCAACGCTTCTGGAAACATTGAAACTTAAACTTGTCAGTTCACTGAGATGAGAAGACTGAAAGAGAGGAGACATTTAAATAAGAAGAGATAATTTTATTTTATTTTTGGGGGAACCAATAATGCTTTTTGCTATTGAGCAGAAACAAATGCCGCTGTACACTGAGAATAAAAACCCCATGCCCACTTGTAACTGTTATGTCCTCAATGTGTCTCCACCAGCGTCCCTGGTCATCTCCTGAGGCGGAGCTAGGCACACTGCTGCAGCCTTTGGAATGACTCCTTCCTAGCAAATGAGTAGCTCCAAATCAACATGTCCCCAACCCAGACATCCTTTCCTCTCTTGGTTTTCACCACTGATAGCTCAAACAACTTAATTTTCCTACATTGCTACTGAAGCTCAGTAGCTTCTCATGTGTGGCTCTCCCTCGATTGGGCCTGGGGGAAGGCGGTGGGGTGAGGGACTGGGGACTGCCCCTGGGGATTGCTTAAAGTGGATGCTTAAAGTCTGTTCCCCAGACTTTCTTAGGCAGCCCATCTTCATGTGAGAGTAACTATTCTCTTCAAGCAGGGCAGTTCCCTGGCTTTCCCCTTCTCTTCTGTTTGTATGTGTGTATCTCCTTCTCTCACTGCCTCAATTTTTTTTTTTTGGCTGTAACTTAGAGAGAAATTCACATCTCCCAATAGGCCCTCTAGGCAAGGGGATGATTTTGAAGAACAACGTGAGTCTTGGTACTGACCCAGATAACCCAGAAGGAACCAGTTTTAGAAGAGGCAGACTTGTCCAGGCTCCTGGTCCCATTCCTCTCCTTAGGGTGCTCTGTTCAAAACAACTCTATTTTATAGGCCATGAGCCCTGCCTAAGATGATGGTAAGGCCTTTAGCTACTGCACAGCACCTTAGAGGAAGCAGGTAAAAACTTGGTTGTTCTGGCCACTCCTATACCCAAATCTCATATCTCTTTCTCCAAATCCAAGGGGCTTCAATGGGACTTGAAAAGTGCTCCTCCCCAGCTGAGCGGTAAGTAATGAGGATTCTCCAGATTCCACTTCTGAAGAATGTTGGGCCACAGCTTTGAGCCACTGTTCTTTCTCCCTATTAAATCTCATCCCTTTCTCTTGTGATTCTTTGCAATTTTTAGGTGTTCTCTCGTGACCTGGCACTAATGTGTCCCTGTATACACACCCTTTTCCTAGCCTCTTTTAGTAAGCCCTGCTCCTGGGGCAGAGACTCCACCCAGTCTCACATCTGTTTCTGAGATATCAAAATGGAAAACTAAACCAGGATCTTTGGATGAATATATTCTTCAGCCAGTATGGTAAAAGGTCCCCCAAAATCAAAGCGCTTTCAGCCTTCAGGAACCAGCTTGTCCTTTGGCAGTTTAATTAGTTAAGTAGGAAAGCCAGCCTGGGTAAGAACTGTGGCCAGGAGTCAAAGCTTCCCTCGCTAAGCCCTTAAGCCCCATCCCAGAAGCTACTGCATTTAGCAGCTATTTGTGGGCCTGGCTGAAATCTAGCTCTTGGCAGCCAAACTGCACGTGGTTTCCTCACCCAGATATCATTGCTCAAGGTTTTTAGACAGGCCTTGTTTTGTTGTCATTTTTTACCATGTATACCCCCTCCCAAGCAATCCACTGCAAAGCCAGAGAAACCTTACTAGATATCATTGCTGAATATATACCTATTACCTTCATCCTTGTGTCTTTAGGTCAATGTTTCCATCCCCTGATTTACTGCAAGAGGGAAGGCCACCATGTCCTTTTTGTGCAAAACATGTTTAGATCCTATTATAAATAAAAATGTCACCATCTCTTTCTGTGGAGTCTTTGGTGTCCAGTTGTGTCAGGCGTGAGCCAGAAAACATGCGTTTTCTGAGTCATGCTTGAGATGGTAGTTAGGTCAAGTTTGTAGAAGGGAAAGGCTTTGGACTGACCAATGAAATTCTTTTAGGTCTTGCTCCTGGCTTGACCCAATGTTCTGTTTCTTCTCTGAGACTGTCTCCCATCCCTCATTTCTCAAGCTGAGAGGGCAGAATTATTGTAGAGGTACTATATATCTGGAGAGGGGTGGGGACCTCTCCATCTTTTTTCTCTGAGAAGTCAAAAGGCCTGAACCAGGGGTGGGGAGCCTGAGGCCTCAAGGCTGCGTGTGGCCACCCCTGAGAACCATGCCTGTGAGCCCCCGATCTCTAGATGTTTCAGAAATCTGTGACCCTTCTTTCTTTGGGAATTATCCTTGTTACTCTCTTTTCCCCTAAATACTGTTTCACCTCTGTGGTGTATTCTCTGTGTGTCCCCCATCCTATATCTTCTGATAACATTGCCTGGGAAAAGGGGGTAGGGGACATTTCCTATGTTTTCTGACTCAGCTAGGGTTGTGCCCACTGGAACTCTGATGGAGTGTGCTTGGCTCAGGGTAGGGTTTTTGGTGTTTTTTTTTTCTTTTGGCTTTATTTTCTAATTTGAGGTAATATTAAAGAAGGTGATAAGTAACCTCTCAGGCCTCTGAGCCCCTCTTAGGGATTGGCTAAGCCAGATAAGGGGAGAGGAGTGAGCTAAATCACAGACTATGTTAAGTCCCTATCCTCTCAGATCAAGATTAAGGGCTATAGGTTTAAACTCCATCCTGCTCCAAGGCTCTTGCTTCTTAGAATCAGCCCAGCTGGTAAGGAATAAATTTCTAGGTCACATCTGCAAATAGGGTCCAATAGCAAAGTTGTATTTAATTCAGACATTAAATGCTTACTGTGTTTTACATATCTTATATCTGGGGATACAAGTATCACTCAGTGAGCATTTAGTCAGTGCCTACTGTGTATCAGAAACAGTGCTAAGCATTGAAGATTCAAATGCAAAGAATGAAATAAATCCGAAAACTTATACATTTTTAGCCCCAAGGAGATCAATTCTAACGAAAAGGAGGGATAGGAAATGTTTGTAAGTATGACACAAAGTAGACTGTGCAGCAAAGTACTACAAGAAATTTGAGGAGTTCCGGCCTCAGACACTTGACACTCACTGGCTGTGTGACCCTGGGCAAGTCACTTAACCCCGATTGCCTCACCAAAAAAGCAAAAACAGAAACAAAAGATATTTGAGGAGTGAGAAAACATTCTTACTAGGTTGGTTCAGAATGGACTTTGTAAAGGAGCTGCCATCTGAGCTGAGTCTTGGAGGAAATGAAGGACTTACATGATGAGCCAGTCACGCCTGGTGTAGGCACTCAGAGCCTGATGGTCAAGTCAACAACTCAATTTAATGAAAACATATCCAACAAGCCCCAGGCAAAAACAATCTTTGTTGTTCAGTCACGGATCATGCTGTCGGTAAGGCTGTCTTGGCAAAGATACTGAAGTGGTTTGCCATTTCCTGCTCCAGTGAATTAAGACTGGCAGGTGTCTGAGGCCAGATTTGAACTCAGGTCTTCCTGATTCTGGGCCCAGCACTCTATCCACTGAGCCATCTAGCTGCCTCCAAAAAACAGACTAATAAAGTAAAAAGCCACCAGCAAGAATATTAAAAGGAGTTGGTAAGGAAGTTCCCTGACTATTAGGCACTCACAGCCTTTGAATATCCTCCTTGCCCAAAGAACCCAAGGCAGTATCCCATAGATATATGCCTGGATGCAAAATTAACTCAAATGGCCCTCATACTGCTTCACAGGGTCCTGGCTTACAGCACAAATGGGCAGTGGTATGGGAGTATGAGGTTAACCCAAGGCTCTCCAGTTCCACTAGTGTCGTGGCCCATGACAGATGAAAATTGGGGTGAAAGAGAGTCTCCTCCAGTCACAGAGGACAGTATGAGAAAAGACACAGAGAGGAGGAGGAGGAGAATGTAATCAGAAAGGATCTTCACCCGACCCAGACTGGAACCAGGTGGTGATCTCCTCACTGGCTTGTCAGAAGCCAGTATTTGCTAAGTGCCCTAATTGAGCAGGGAACTACAAGGAAGTCAATGAAAAAACATTTATTATTACATTGACTTATAGTAGGTAAATATTCAGTAGAAAGTCCTTGCCCTCAAAAAACTCACAGTCTAATGAGGGATACACTATGCAAACAACTATGTGTAAACAACATCTATACACTATAAACTGGGAATATACAATATAAACAGAGGAAGTCAGGCCCTCCTAAAGCTTATAAAAAAACACCAAAACTGAATACAACCCATACATAAACCACATATATGCAGTTAAGCAATTTTGCCAAAAAAAAAAACCTTGAAAGCAAAGTAGATTGAGATGGATATCAGTAAATGTAAACATCCAATAAAATTCGGGTGGAGTCAAAACACAGGGGTGGATCCAGGATGTGGGGGAGCCCAAAATTTATCATAGCCATCTCAGATATTTCTGGAGAATTGCTGAGGTCAAGGTTATATTCTGAGTTCAAATAATCTCTAGTCACATAAAGTTAAGTTCAAGCAATGTTAATAAATGATGAATAATAATCCATATCAGTATCAGGAAATTATCTGAGACACAAAGAATCTGGGAATTGACTCACGCAAGATCACACACTTAGTAAGTATAAGAGGTTGACTTTGAACTGTCTTCCTGCCGTGTAGTAGGCACATAATGAATATTTATTCTCTTCTTCCCTGATATGTGCCTTCCTGACTGAAAGTCTAGCAGTCTATCCACTACACTGCATTGTCTCCCAAAACATGGTGTACACAGTAGGTACTTAATAAGTACAATAATAAGTATTTAAGTGAGCACCCATACGTATAACTTGCATAGGTTTATAGTCAATTTTTCTAAGTTGGTATGTGTAACCATACCCATGACAAATATTTGTTATTATAATTGAGTAGCTGTTTTAGAGATATCAGCCATTGAGTATGTGTTCTAGACGTATCTCAGGAAGTGATGGTGCCAATTTATTCATGACAACTGAAAAGAGAAGCATGGGAGTTAGAGGAAAAACAAATCCAGTAATTTGTGGTTCCCAAATAAAAAGAGAAAGAAGCACATGGGGGGAGGACATATACATGTATTAAGCACCTACTCGATGACAGGTGCTTTACAAATATCTCATTTGAACTCAGGTCTTCCTGACTCCAGGCTCAGTGCTGCATCCTCCTGTGTCATATAGCTGCCTCTGAAAAGAGGAAGCAAAGGATTATAGGATCTTGGCATTTCATGTTAGAAGGGATACTGGAGATTATCTAATGCTAAAGATAGAGTCTTTTTAGTTAATTATTAGCTGCTCTTCCTTCCAGTGCTCTCTCTTCTATCATTTTTCCAGGAAATTATGTGATCATAGCAAATCACTTCACTACTCAGAATCTCAGTTTCTTCCCCTTTAAAATGAAGGGGTTGAATCTTAGGCCCAGAGAAAGAGAAAGAAACCTACTTCTGACCTCATGGTAGAAAAAACTTTGAGGCACAGAGGTTAAGATGGAGGTGGGGATGGAGATGCTCACTGTCACACAGTTGCTTTAGCAATTGGGTTTTGCTCCAGTTTTCATTTCTTTTTTTTTTTTTATTTTATTCTGAACTTAAGACATAAAATATTTCCATAGCATGGTAGAATAGAAAAAAAAAGAGAGATTGCGCATGAAGTTGCAAATCTATTATGTACAACTTGCTATTCTTTTAAAATATATAATAAAGATGTATAACTTTCTTTTTTTTCCTTTTTTTCTTCCTTCCCTCAACTCTGCCCTAGAGATGGCTACGACTAGACACAAATATGTATATAAATATAGACATAAATATGTATTTAAAACCATCCTATACATACTGGTATTAATCAGTTCTTTCACTAGATGCAGATGGCATCTTCCTTCATAGGTCCTTTGTAATTAATTTGGATATTTATAATAGCTAAAATTACTTAGTCACTCAAAGTTGTTCTTAAAACAACATTGCTCATACTGTATACAAGTTTCTCTTGGTTCTCCTCATTTAATTCTCCATTATTTTGTTCAAGTCTATCCACATTTTTCTAAAATCATCAAGCTAATCATTTCTTATAGCACATTAGTATTCCATCACAATCACATACCACAACTTGTTCAGCCATTCCCCAAGTGAGGGGCATCCCTGCAATTTCCAGCTCTTTGCCACCACAAAAGGAGCTACTATAAATATTTTAGAATGTATAGGTTCTTTTCCTTTTCCTCTCATCATCTTTGGAAACTTAGTAGTGGTATTGCTGGGTCAAAGAATATAGGCAACTTGATAATTCTTTGGGCATAATTCCAGATTGCTTTCCAAAATGATTGGATCATTACAGTTCTACTAACAGTGAATTAGTGTCCCAATTTTTCCACATCCCCTCCAACATTTGTTGTTTTCCCCTTTAATCATTTTAGCCAATCGGATAAGTGTAAAATGATATCTCAAGGTTGTTTTAATTTGCATTTCTCTAATCAATAATGATTTAGAGCATTTTTATATGGTCATAAACTATTTTGATTTCTTCATTGGAAAACTGTCTGTTCATACATGTCCTTTGACCATTTATCAATTGCAGAATAACTCATATTCTTATAGATTTAACATATTTGAAATATGAGACCTTTATATGAGAAACTGTCTATAAAATTTTCCCCCAATTTTCTACTTTCCTTCTGTTCTTGGCTACATTTGTTTTATTTGTTAAAAAAAAAACAACAAAACCTTTTTAATGTAATGTAATCAAAATTTTCCATTTTACACCTCACATTGCTCTCTATCTCACATTTATTCATAAACTGTTTGCCTATCCATAAGTCTAATAGGTAATATAGTCTATGTTCTTCAGATTTTCTTGTACTACCTCTTTTTATATCTAGGTCATATATCCATGTTGACCTTATCTTGGTAAATGGCATAAGAAGTTTTCATTTCTATAGGAAGGATTCAGTGTGGGAGCATAGGGGTGGGAGTGGTCTATTACGAAGTAATTTTAACATTGAAAAAAAAGGCAAAGATTATTTGCTGGAAAAAATGAAGGTGTTGGACTAGATGATCTCTAGGGCTCTCCTGTTCCATAGACCATAAGGAGACAAGTGGAACAGCTCTTTTTCAAAGTGGCGTCTTTGTTGGGATATACCCAGTGTTGGCTCTCCCTCTGACCACTAGTGATGAGGAGGAAGCTGTCTCTTCTCATTCCTTAAGACCAATAAAATAGGGAGAATCTTCCTGACTGTGTCACCAATCCTCTGTGGCACAGCTGAATCTTGCCATGTCCCCTTCCTCTGACTCTAACACACACACACACACACACACACACACACACAGTCAGATACCAAGAAACCAACCAGGATCCTCTGCTGTGGTACACACCTTTAACAAGGGGCCAAAGCACAAGTGACTCATTGGAAAGAGCCAGGCCCATCTCCACATATGCTCATTAGGAACATCCTTGCAGTTTCATCCCCATGTAGAGTTCATGAGAAGGGTTCTAATCCCACTTTCCAATGCATTGAGAAGAAACTCTTTTGTGTGTATGTATGTTTATAGTCACACATATGTACACATATACATACAAAGAAAAAAGAGAGGGGGGATGAGAGAGAGACAAAGAGAGGGAGAGGGAAAGGGAGAGGGAGAGGGAGGGGTAGAGGAAGACAGAGCAGAGGGAAAGAGGGACAGGGAGAGGGAGAAGAAGAATATGCTGCCAGGAGATCTTTGAGATCTCCAGAAGTCAAAGGAAGTATTTGCCAGCATTGAAACCTGGGGGAAGACATTTTTAGAGGCCAGAGAACAAAGGGTATTCTCAACCATGAAACCAGGACAAAATCTTTTCATAACCATGACTCACAGTGCCTAGTGTGAAAGAAATGACTAAGAGATTTTTTTTTACTTCTCCTAGAAGCCTAGAAGAAAAATTCATCTGGATGGGAGGGGTCCAGAGGAGGACAAAAAGGAAGTACTTGCGGCAGTCCTGGAACTCCTACACTGGAGCCAAGGGTTAAAGAAGCAAACTCAGGAAGGGCTGAGCTAAGGATAGCTTTGCAGAACCAAATCATAGGATTTTAAGCTATAACAGACCTTAGAAGGAGGATATACAATTCTGAAACTTAGAGATGTCTGACCACAGAGATCTTTCTGAACTTTGTAATGTTGTGCTTTTTGCTATTTTTATGCCATATATGTTTTTGTGTGATTCTTAGTAGCAAAGCACCTAAAAGAAAGACTCCATGTTATTTTCAGAGAACAGGGTAAGGAAAAAAATCCTCACAAGCAAAGCTGTGGGTAATCTGGTACCTAATACAGTGTCTGAAACATAGTAAGTGCTTAATAAATATTTATTGACTGACTAGTCAAGGATGATGATAAAAAGAGTAGCGCATTTAAATGGCACTTTAAGGTTTACCAAATACTTTCTTTGCTATGTTAAAAAAAAATAGCATTAGTGACTCCATTTTGCCTTTCTCCACCATTTTGTGAAGCTAAGTTTCAGTTACTTGAAAATCACCTAATTTTGGAGAATTCACAAGATTACTCCTCCTCCCAAAGGTCACCTACTTAAGGAATGTCACAAAACTACCCCCTCTGCCTCTCACCTTAGTGTCTCCCCGGTACCCTCCACCAGTGAGAAACTAGATGTCTCAATCCCTTTAAGTGTGTGTGTGATGCATTGTGCGGTTGCTGGGAACCCTGAAATGTCAGGGTATAAGGCAGCATACACCTGGAATGAATTCACACACTCAAACTTTCTTTCAGTCAAAGGGCAGTTTATTGAAACACCAATAGAAACAGGCAGGGTCCCTGGTGAACGTGCAACTTAATAGGAGCGAGACTGATGCTTATATACAAAAAGGACAGTGAAAGGATCTGGATGGGATTCTGGGCCACTGAAATATATGGGAAAATTCAGGGACTGAGCTGCTTTCAAAGACATGGTCTTTTCCTTTTAGGGGTCCAGGTACCATCATCCCATCATGTGTGTGTGTGTCCTTGGGCTACAGAAAGCCTTGGTCCCAATCAGTTTCTGCAACTGCACGCCATGCTAAATAAATCATTTGTCTGGATGATGCTCCATTTCCATATTTCACTGTAGCATCTTACATAGAGGTTAGAGTTCTAATACACTTTACCAGTCATCTCTTTTAACCCACACATTTTATAGCTGAGGAAAGTGAGGCACATTAGACTTGAAATAATTTGCCCAAGGGCATGCAGGTGACCAGGATATTTCCTCCCCTGCCTGACCTGGCCTCTCCAGTTTCAGAGAGGCAAAGTAATAGCTCTCAGAAACCAAAAAGAAGCTCCAATAAACAAAGTTCTAGTACTTAGCAGTGGAAGGAAAAAATGAGTCAGAAGGTGGAGTCACAGTAAAATCAACATGCGTTAAACACCCTCTGTATGTAAAGCCCTGTAAACCAGGCACTCTTTAAACTTCCTGTAATTGGAGTTTATAGCTCAGCTACGGGTCATTATCCTGGAGAGTTCCACAGCCACATGAGTATGAGGCTATCCATAGTGGTTCTGTCAGTGTGCACTCAAGGCCAGCTGTGCCACTGCTCACATGTCTATAGATCTTAAAGCACTTGGCAATATGAGAATTGTTATTATCTTCACCTCACAGATGAGGGTGTTAGGGACCAGAGGGGTTTAGAGACCTTGACCTAGGTTATACAACCAGCAATTGTTAGAGCTAGAGCCCAGGTCTCCTGGCTCTGAACTCTTCCATTTACATTCACTGGAGAAAGTAGCACCCCCAGAATGTGTAAAAGTAAATATAGCTGCACATAAATGAACTTGGCTGGTTCATCATTAGGGTGCCTCCTAAGTCCTACAATCCCTGTTGAAGGGAGGAGGAGGGGAATGACTGAGGTTGTTGTTTTTGTTTGTGCTTCATTCTAGAAGAGGACCATGACATCATGGAGGTGATGCCTTGACATGCAAGTGAATTGGATTAAGTTAGAGAGGGCTGTGCAAAGTCACCAGCCTTACTTTCTCCTGCAGAGCCACCTGGGTCCAGCAGCCAGATACATGTCAGGACGCCTTGGAGATGGCCCAGACGTGGTGGAAGACCTTGAAAGTCTTTAGCAGGTCTCAGTTTGATTGAGGCAATGCCCATTCAGTGATTAAGGCTAGGTTAAAAAAAAATGAGGCAAAGAATGGCCTCTTTAACTTAGTCCAGAAAAAAAAAATCAATCTGGGAGGGGAAGACTCTCAAGGTTTCTGGACAAAACAAAAACGATTCCTATTTATGGCTCTGTATGGGGAGTGAATTCATTCCAGGTTTACATTCACTCAAAGTCTATGGGGCCCAAATAATGATCAAGTGGGGCTTGGACTGGGACCTATTATTGGCCAATCAGTGAGAGCTGGAGTGATTTGGGCTTAAGGCATGGTCCTTAAGGAAGAAATCTAGCCCGTAAACCCCAACTGACTAAGGTATATAGAGGGAAAATAACAGTGGGAGGAAGAAGAGAGGAGGAGGAAGAGGAGGAGAGAAGAGGGAGCTATTAGCCTAAGGAAGAGCATCTTGTAATATACATAGTGCAATGGAAAAAGCCCTGAATTTGGAGTCAGGGTTCTAGCCTGGTTTCGTCATGAATAAAATAAATGTGTTAAACTAGACAATCTCAAAGCTCCTTTCCAGCCCTAAATCCTATGATTATGTTCAATAATCCTCTGCCTTCCAGAAAAAAGTGATTTTCCCCATTGTCATGAATAAGAATTTTCACACCATTGTTTCTACTAACAGTAGTCTTTTTGGATAGGGATGGGGAGGTGAGAGAGAGAAGGAAAATATGCCCATAAAGGGATGGCCCAATAAACATCCTTTTGCAATAAAGTAGTTAATACATTATAACCAAACCACCCTTATCATAAAGTTGCAAAACCCCTGGGATGCAGGTTGGCTGACTGATTACCCAATTACAATATGGTTCCTTTGGGTCAAAGTGCTTCCTGCAACATCATCCTGCCAAAAATGTAATTTTTGTAGAGGCAATTAATGATGTCAAATGTGGTCTGTCTGTATTGGAGGAGGAAGAAGTGAAAGAAGAGGAGGGGATGGACAAAGAGTCTCCGGAGCCTGACTGCTAGAATCTCAGCATCTGTCCACCCTGCTTTGGGGATGTTATACCACTTTAGTTTTGAAGTGTGTGGGAGGAGAGGAAGGGGGTGGAAACCAACTATTTATTAATTGCTAACATTTATATAGCCCTTTTCTTTATTATTAGTTTATATATTACACATATACACATATTTAAAGTTTGCAAGGCACTTGACTTACATTTCCTCAGTTGATCCTTGCAACTTCTGTGAGGTAGGTAATCCTAACCCCATTTTACAGATGAAAAACTGAGGCTCAGAAAAGCCATATAACTTGCTCAGGGTCACACAGTTAGGAAGTGTCACAAGGGGAAGTCAAACTAGGTCTTTCTGACCCCAACTCCAGTCTATCTATGATACCATACTCCCTCTTATCTACTTACTATCTGCAAACAGAAGGACCTGGACGATAAGAAAATGAATACCTCATGACGCCTACAATCTAGTTGAGGATGACACAAGAGACAGTGGGGTATGTGCACATGTGAGAGAACAAAAAAAAAAGTTATAATCAGAGTTCCTAAGGACGAAAAATAATTAGGAGGGAGAATATGACTATTGGTCAGATTAGTATGGAGAGCGCAGGCAAGTAGGAGGTAGAAGACACAGTGGTAGGAGGGGCAATCTTCTGAAAGATTCGCACGCGCACACACAGATACCCCACCCCCCAGGAAAGCCTTAAAAAACAACCCCACAACAGACATACTTCTTAAGTGAGGAGGATGCAGCGCAGTGAATGTTCTTTCAATGTTCTATTTTCAAGCCTACTCCCATGTCCCCTTCTCCTTCATTGTACCCTCTCTCAAGAAGTCTCTCTCTTGCTTCATCAAGTCTCCTCCCACCTGCTGCAACAACCCAGGTGCTTTGGGGGCTTTCCCTTGTGAGGTGCTAGAACTCCAGATAAGAGACAGGTCAGAGGAAGAAGCCAACCAAAGGACAGGCTATGACCCAGAACTGGTCTGTTGGGTGAATGGAATTCCTGCCAGTTTCAAAGTTCACCTTCCTTTTCTGCTTCCTACTGGGTAAGATGGCTCTGTATGGGGAGTAAGAAAATGGATGGGGTGGCTAGAATCAAGCATGTGGATGTTATTGTCAAAATGGGACAGTGGGGGAGTTAAAAGGGATTTATGGAACTGAAATAGGCCGCAGAATAATTCCATATGGAAGGGGGGATATGTAATAATTGAGGGCTGAATTTATAAATGGAAGATTTAATTGAATGCCCACAGTGAAGGACCACCACAACATGGTGAGTGAACCATTGTATCCTGTTTGCATTCATTTCTCTGGGAAGGGAAAGGAGTCTTGGGGAATGGGTGAACAGAAGCCATCAGGGTCTTGTTCTAGGTAGCAAAATATCCCTTCTCCCTGAAGATGGTGAAATTTAGTATCAGTTCACAGTATCTCCACGTCCACCTCCCTGCTCTACCCAAGGACTTTTTCCAATAAGGAAGAAGGGATTATGGAGTGAAGTGGATCTAAACAAACATATGAGATGCATTTAGAGCTTTTTCTTAGAAGTCTTCAGAGTCTGGGGGTGCTCTTCTAAGGAAACAGGATGTCAAATAAGAATTAAGGACTGGGATATTGGGGACTCTGTGGATGAGAAAACTCCCTCTAAACAATGACAGGCAACAATTTCTCTGCAACTTAGAGCCTTAGTGCCCAATGGTCACACAAGCCAGGATGTGATAGATAGGTCTTTCTGGCTTCGAGGCCAGCTCCCTATCCACTATACCACACTGCCTATGGTTGGCACATAAAAAACAACTGCTGGGGGAGAACATAGGGGACAGAGCAAGGAGGTTTTAAGTTGGTTTAAGAAGAGGAAGGAAAGAGGCAGAGGCAAAAGTGATTATGTTAGTCAAGAGATGCAGCAAGTGACCTTGGGTCACTACCTTGAGATATCTATAAAAGTTAGCCAGATGAGGGACTTTTCATTCAAATTAGACCCATTGGAAAATATTTCCTGACTTTCAGGCTTACAGGGCATGGCACCCAAAGGGGCAAAACTGTGTTAACCACCTTGGAGATGGTTAAGAACAGGAGAAATTCCTTAGCAATTATCAATCAACAAGCATTTATGAAGCACAGAGTCAGTCTCAGTGCTGAAGATGCAAAGACAAAGATAAAATAGTCCCTGCCCTCAAGGAGCTTACATTCTACCAGGGGAATATGTAAAAGTAAAGAAAGGAAGGGTCAGGAAAATATATAGACAAAGCAACCTGTGGGAGTGCTGCCATCTTCTTAATTCCTAAGAAAAGAGAAGTCCAACTGTGAGTTAACTGTCTCCGAAATCCAGGAAGAAGAATGTACCCTTCCCATGCCAGGGGCCCAGAGTGATTTATGCCCCTCTCTCCATTCAAAAGGAACCCATTACATACTACAGAATGGAAGGTAAATGCTAAGTACAGAGTAAGCACTGAAAATATTTGTTCTGCTGTCACGTTGAGCACTGATCAGCACTTCCTGTGCCTCTTGCTACATCAGCACATTGGAACTGATGCTTCCTGTGGCTGACTCTCTGTTTCCATTCCGGTAAAGCTGCCAGCTTCCTTCTAACAGCACAAGGAGGCTCTACTTCTTCTATCACTTGGTTATCTCTCCCTCACTCAGTGCTTCACACACCATACTCCTCGCCCACATGCCTACCCACAAGGAAGCGAAGATCACAAAATGTCCCCTAAAGCACCTCTAGATCCAGAGGCAGGTCACAGGTTGCAGCATAGAGTGGATGCACATAGGTGGAGTTCAGCTAGCTCTTACAAGTGAGGCCAACCAGGCCAGGACAAATATAGCGAGGACTGGGATTGTCCAAAGGAGTTTGTTGAGGAAAGAAGGAGGGTGGGATCAGGAACGCTGGGAAGTCAGGAATGGAAAAAGTGGAAATTTCTCTGTGTGAGAGACAGAATATCACAGTGGAAAGTGAACTGGACTGGGAGGCAGAGGACAGAGGTTTGAATTTTGGCTCTTCAACTCAGCACTGTCTTGGAGTCCAACTCCTTTGTTTTGGAGATGAGAGAAATAAGACATAGAGAGGTAAATGATTTATCTATCACTATGCTACTAAGTATAATGGATTTGAATTCAGGTTTTCCTGATTCTGAGTACATTGTCCTCTCCACTAAACCATGCTGGAACTTTGGGCCAGTTGCTTCTTTGCTCTGGGTCTCAGTTCACCTGTCTGCAAAATGAAGGAGTTGAACTAGATGATCTGTAAGATCCCTCTAGATCCTTTAATCCTGTGAGTTTGATTTTAAATAATTCAGATTGGTGAATCCCCCAAAGAAAGAAAAACAAACTGAGGGAGCACTTGAAAGAAAGGGCCTCAGATACCAGGAAGATTGCAATGTAGTTTGGTACTGACTGGTAACAAGCTAATTAGATTCAGCATAATTAGATACAAATAACAGACAAATTCACTTTTGCTCTGGGGAATCAACAACTCAAAAGGCCTTCTGTTTTTAAAGAGGGCTGGTCAGCTACCTATTATGAGAAATCAGTAGCAGAGAAGACTATGATGATTTAGGAGAGAGTGGACTTAGGACTAAAATGTGATCTATTTTTTCAACCCACGTGTTCATTTAGCAATTTAACCCACGACGGAAACACCCATCCCTCTATTCTCCAGGAATAAAGAGAAGATTATGGAAATCACCACAGTCCCACAGACTGTTGGTAGCCCCAGTGGGTAAGTGTTCATTTAAAGACTTGCTTTAATGGGCTAGCTAGCAGATGGAGCTCTCCTCACCACCGACTTATATGGAGGATGGAGGTTTCCTTTGGGAAGCTCCCTTCTTGACATTGCTGTTGCCACTAAAACTACCTAGACACACTTGCTGTTATCTATTGGGTGGTTGGTATTGGAGGAGGAGAATGGAAGGACTGTGGGTGTCTTTGTAAAAACTAGACAGCAGCCTCAGTGGGGGATTTTCCCAGGGGAAAAAAGGCTATGTGCGTACATTTCAAATTCTGTCCTGCTCGAAGCCAAAAAGTTGAATGATAGAAACTAGTTAATCTATGTTTTGGGGATATTGGGGGCTAAATTCAATTTAATTCAATCCATCAAGCAATTAAGGTATCTAATATGTGTCCAGCACTGTGGTAGACACTCAGAATACAAACAGAAAAGCTCCCAAAGAGTTTACATTCTCCTGTGCCTTAGAAGGTGCTGCACATTTCTCACAAGAACCTCCCTGGGTAGCTTCTTTCTTAGAGAGGTTATAGACCATCATCCAAACCCCATTCCCTATCACCTACTTCCTAATTCTTTATCCACACACCCTTCAATACTCCTACCCCAAAGCTCCAACCAAATGCTTTCCACTGTGCCCTCTGGAAAGCCTGTTCCATGGGCAATAAACTTCCCTTCATCCTAAATCTTTACCTTTCTCATTTCTTCCATCTTCTTCCATCTTCCAACTTCATTGAAATCTAGCTTCTCATTAATGACACAATTTCCCTGGCCATCCTTTTCAGTACTGACTGCAACTTCAATCATTCCCCTTGGTTCACTCTTGGTCAAGGTAGGAGAGTTGGAGAACTCATTGGATTGGGTTAGATTCGATCCTCTCTTTTCTCTAGGTTTTTAGAACACTTCTCTCTCCTTGTTCCCTTCCTACCTATCAGACTGCTCCTTCTCAGTCTCCTTCACTAGATCCTTATCCATGCCACACCTTCTAACCATAGATAACTACAAGGTTCTTCCTAGGCCCTCTTCTCCTTTCCTTCTCACTTGGTGACCTCAACAGCAACCTTGGATTTAATTACCATCTCTATGCTGACGATTCTCAAATTTTTCTATCCTGCCCTAAACTTTCTACTGACCCCCAGTTTCATATTTTCAGTTTTCCTTCAGACATCTTGAACTATATTTCTGGTAGGCTTTTTAAACCCAACCTGTCCAAAATGGAACTCATTAACTTTCCCCGAAACATCCCTCCCCCATGCTAATTTCCCTATTACTATTAAAGGTAACACTATCCTTTCAGTTTCTCAGATGTACAACCAAAGTGTCACCTTCAACTTCTCACTATCTCTCACCCTTCATAGTCAATCTGTTGCCAAGGCTTGCTGATTTTACCTCTATATCTTTCTCGAATATGGCCCCTTTTCTCCTCTAAGACTGCCACCACCATGGTGGAACCCCCCAGTCAGCTATCAAAGTAATTTTCCTAAAGTGAAGGTCTGACCATGTCACTCCCATACTCAATAAACTCCAGTGGCTCCCTATTGCCTCTTGAATCAAATACAAAATGCTCTATTCAGCATTCAATGTCCTTTAAAACTTATGGCCCTCAGCCCCCTCACTTTTCCAGTCTTCTTATACCTTTCTCCTTGCCCTGAACTCTTCAGTCCAGTGACATTGACCTTCTGGCTGTTCCTTGAGCAAGACACTTCATCTCTTGGCTCTGAATATTTTCCTTGGCTGTCCCCTATTCCTGGAATGCTCTCTTTCCTCATTTCCATCTACTGGCTGTACTGGCCTTCTTCAAGTCCCGACTAAAATCCCACCTTCTCCAGGATGACTTTCTTGGCCCCTCTTCATTCCAGGACCACCCCCCTTTTAATTATTTCCCAATTTTCCTTTATTGTAGCTTGTTTTATATATATTTGTTTTCTTATCATTTCCCCCATTAGATTGTGAACTAACCTTGAAAGCAGGGGACTGTCTTTTACTTCTTTTTCTATCCCCAGTGCTTAGCACAGTGTCTGGCACAAAGTAGGCACTTAGTAAATATTGACTGACTGACTGACTGATTGAGAAGTATGGCTACTTAGGGGTTTTGTTCAGTCAGAGAAAGGATCAAGCCAAGTTTCAACATCAAAATCAGCCTGAGGTTAACTCTAGCCAAGACCAGCTGTGTTGAAAGGATTTAGGGAACACAGTTCTTCCTCAGAGCACATTGGAAAATCGAGTTCATGGGAAGAGAACCTGCCCTTTGGGATTATGATTACCTTTGGTGAGCCCACTCAGCTCCTCCTTAGTTATGACCGCCAAAAGGCCTATGAAAAACCTGGTGAGACTTTCCTTGTTCCCTCATCCCCCAAGGCAGGAGAACTCATGAGAGAAGAGGAGTAAGGAGCAAATACAAATGAGGGCAGGAAAGTCAGAATGGCCAGATTTTGTCCCTTACTCAGCTCTAGACCTGTTCCCACTTGTCTCCTTAGCTTTACAAATCATCCCCTCCAACTTTATAGCTATCATCGCTTAGTCTTTGTATCACTTAGCACATAGTAAGTATTTGATAAATGTTGATCATCAATTGGTCCCAATCGCTTGCTCTCTCAATGGAAAACAAATAAATCTAATAGTCCAGACTTTCCCAGAAGTCCAGTATTTTAGCTTAGATGAGGCAGTATGGTTTGCTAGAAGCCACACTGTACTTAGAGATAGATAGACCCGAGCTTGTCCCAGATTGGTCATTTATTAACAGTGTGACCTTGGGCAACTTGCTTGACCTTTCTGAGACTGTTCTCTTCTATAGAAAACGAGGGATAATAATACTTGTACTACCTACTTCAAAGATTCGAAAGGAAATCATGTTGCAAGTGAAATCACTTCTTAAATATAACAGCATCCTTGTCTTCAAATTCACTACTGTGTGGAACAATTCTCAAAGAGGACCATGACATCAAGGAGGTGATGCTGTGAATTGCAAGTGAATTGGATTTAGGTAAGGGAGGAATGTGCAAAGTCATCAGCCTCACCTTCTCCTCTGGAGCCATCTGGGTCCAGTGACCAGATGTAGATCAGGATGACTGGAGATGGTCCCAGATGCACAGCACAGTGTCTTGCATATAAGGAGCACTTAATGAGTGCCTATTCTTTGATTTTTTTTTTGCTTTGTTTCACCTTTGCATCCCCTATGCCTGCCTGCTGAGGAGTCTTTTGCACATAGCAGGTACCTAATAAATTATTATTGAATAAACAAATGAAGGACCCCTTTTTTTGGAGATGAGCCTTGAGAAATTTTTAAAGGATCCTGAAGTTGTGCAGTTCATTGGAGAAGGAGGAGGAAGAAAGAGAGAGATCAAAGAACTTTGGAAAGCACCCCTAGCAAGAGAGCTGGCTCTTTAATTTTTAGACTCTGTCATTAACTAGCTGTGTGTCCTTGAATTGGATTCTTTACTTCACTGGGCCTGATTTTCCTTATCTATTTGTTGTTCAATTGCTTTCGTTGTGTCTGACTCTCCAGGACCCCATTTGGGGTTTTCCTGGCAGAGATACTGGAGTATTTTGTCATTTCCTTCTCCAGCTCATTTTACAGATAAGGAAACTGAGGCAAACAGGGTTAAGTGACTTACCCAGGGTCACACAGATAGTATCTGAGGCTAGATTTGAACTCAGATCTTCCTCCTAACTCCAGGGTGGGCACTCTATCCACTGCACCACCTAGTTACTCTTCTCCTCATCTATAAAAGGAGAGATTTAGGCTATGCCACTTCTACCCCTTTCCTTCACTTTTCTTTTCTCCCACCACAACCTTCAGCTTGGATAGCTGGTAGAGCTTTTGACTTATTTTTCCAAGAACGCAACTTCTATGCCACGTCTTGGCCATCTCTACACCCAGATTCCCTTTCCAGTTCCTCTTCATTTGTTGTCTTCTCCAATTAAAATGTAAGCTCTTTGAGGGGAGGGCCTGCCTTGCTTGCTTATATTTTTATCCTGAGCACTTAGCACAGTGCCTGGCACACATTAATAAGTGTTTTATCTGTCTTTCCATCATTATGTCTAGATGATCTTTAAAGTAACTTCCAGTCACTTCCAAAGTGTTCCATAATATAGGCAGAAGTGAGAAAGACATGTAGTCTGGGTAGCAAACAAAGCAGCCCAGGCTGGAGTAGAGGATCTGATGGAGAATGACAGATAAGATGGGTAATTAGACTGGAGGAAGAAGTGTAGTCAGTGGTGGAATCCATTGATTGGTGCAGTCAGGAGGGCACCCTGAGATGTTAAGCACTTACACAAAGCACCATCCAGCCTGGGGAGAAGGAGCCTGGATTAATTGTGATTCTCCTAGATTTAAAGACCAGCCCGGTGTTCTGTTTTCTGTGGTTGCGGGGTTGTTTGCCATTTTCTTGGTCACTGCTCTCCTCTTCACCCTGTGGTTCTGGAATAAACGGAAAAAAGGTGAGTCAAATTTGTCTTCAGATCATGTGTGAAAATTATCCTTGATATTTAAAGTCCTCCTTTAGGCTATTTAACTTCCCACCCCAGCTCCATTTGGAAGAGCAAACTAATTGCATGAAGTCCTATTCAGTTTTCACATACCCCGAGAGCTGTAACTAGGACAAGGTGACTAGGACTTTGTCTCTGGGAGAGGAAATTTAAAGCTCACACTGACAGTACTCAGTAGCACAGAAACAACTGAGTGGCACACAGTTAGCAAGAATAATTGATTAAAATAGGAAGTTATCAAATGGCAGTTTCTTTCCCCTAACTCCTAAATACAACCATCACTGCCTCAACCAAGGCAAGCTTCTCCCCTTGCCTAGCCCTGGCAGTCCTGGGTAGTAGCCCTAGAGTATCCTGAGGTCTCTGTCACACCCAGAAACTCCCAACTGAATTGAGGTTAGGTTTCATGCCACTCATCTAAGCCAGCAAAAATTGCTAAGTGGTAACACTACAAATCCCACCCAAGAGGTAGAGCTTTAGTCCTCTTAAAGAATTTTAACCATTGATTTCAAAATTGTCAATGATCATTTGAATACAGGTTTGCTTGTATTTTTGTGCTGTTCACTTAATATGAAAAATGAATTAAACCCACTACTCTTGGGTGTCTTCTTTCCAAGACCTCTTACTGTCTTTACTGGATCATATGGGATTGACCTAATCTGGAAAAATGACTAGTCTTCTAGTAAGAGCAAGACAATCTCCCAGGTACAGTCCATGCCCAAGAGGTGAGGCTCCATCTAACCCAACAGCCCAGATGCTACTGACATCTCCCTCATCCCATTGCCTTATAGAACGGGTACCTTACTTCCGGGTCACTGTTGTTCCCCTGGTGACGCTGTCTCAATCCAGAGAACGAGCGAAAAACATCTATGGTTTTCTGCCCCAAAGCCAAGTGAGGCCTGGTAGGTTCTTCTCTCATGTTCCTGGGTCTACAGAAGAATTAATTGGCATCTCTTTAAGCTTTCAAAGGAGCATAGATTTAGAACTGAAAGGGACCTTACTGGTCAATTATTCTAATTTCCTCAATTTTTATATTATGAAAACAAGCCCAGAGAGGTTAATAATTTGTCCAGGATCACACAGCTAGTAAATGACAGAGCCAATATTCAGAAACAGCTCTTCTGACTCATAATCCAAAGATCTTTCTGCTTTTATTGTTACTCTGGAAAGCTACAGAAAGAATGAGACCAATGAATCTCAAGATTTAATCCCAATGAGATGGCCGTAGAGAGCTACAGGAGGGGTGTAAGGGAAAAGTGGGAAAATCCAAACAGAGTGAGGAAAATTAAGGAGAAGGAAGAAAATAAACTGTGAAAGCATACATGCGCTAACTTTACCCAGTCACTGGCCATCATCTTCTAGCTCAACTCAGGATGGGGAGTGGGAAGCAACAGAAAAAACTTTACCTCTAATCCTCTGGTCACAAGAATATCAGGTTAGTTACCAGAATAATCTATCTTATACAGAAGTCTGGTTATATCACTCATTTCTCTGGTCAATCAGACAACAAGCATTTATTAAGTACCAACTATGTGTCTTGCACAGTGCTAGGCACTAGAGCAGCAAATACAAAAGTATTCCTGCCTTCACAAAGTTAACATTCTATTGGGGAGATACAACATGTTCACAGATAAGTAAATATAGGCTATATGAAAAAAATACACAGTGATTGATGGGGGCAGAGAGGACTAATAACTGGGGGAAACAGGAACATCTCTTGAAGAAGATAGCACCTCAGCAAAGCCTTGAATGGAACTGAGGTTCCAAGAGGCAGAAACAAATAGGGACAGCATGCCAGGTACCAGGGTAACAGATGGGAGGCCAAGTATGGGGAATAGCCAGAACACTGAGTGCACAAGGGGCAGTAATGTGTAATAAGCCTGGAAAGACAGGCCAAAGACAGATTATGAAGGACTTTAGGTACCAGACAAACAAGTTTGTATTTTATTTTAGGTGCAATGGGTAGCCACTGAAGTGTCTAGAACAGGGCAGTGGGATAGTCCTATCTGCATTTTAGGACTACTAACCTGGGCCAGGTTTGCTAGGGCTCACCTGAAGTTCCTGCTGCTGGGGAAGCTGAAGCTGGTAAGTCACGAGATTGGGAATTCTGAGCTATAGGAGACCTAAAGTCTGTTGTGTATCCACACTGGATCTGGCACCAATAGGGTTAGTTCTGGGAATGGAGGGCCACCACACTGTCTAAGGAGATTTAACCAGCACTGGTCAGGAAAATGGAGCAGGTGAAAAGTTCTACACTACTCGGTACTGGGATCAAACCCATAAGTGGACACCACATTTCTAGCCTGGGAGATATAAAGGGACTCAAATACATTAAAAAAAAAAAGATATCAATTTAGCAGCTGCATAGAGGGGAAGGGACAAACTAGACACAGGGAGAACAATTAGGAGGCTATTGAAATAGTCTAGTCTCTGAGACCTGAAATTATAGTATGTATGGTATGGTATGATATGTATGTATGTATGGTAGTATGGGTAGAAAAAAGAGTTCAAGTTAAAGAGATGTTGAAGAAGTAGAGTTGGTAAGACTTGACAATTGACTGAACATGGAAAGTGGAGCATGGTGAGTGAGGGTGAAAAATTGAGAATAATCCCCATGCTGCAAACCTGGTTTATTGGAGAATGATGGAGGAAGGCGGCCTTACCAGAAGTAACAAAATTAGAAGAAAAAGTGGGTTTAGTAAGAAAGAAAATGTGTTCATTTTGGATATGTTGAATTTGAGAAGCCTATGGGATATTCGGATAAAGCTATCAAGCGGAGAGTTTAGAGATATGTGACTAGAGCTCAGGAAAAAGATGAGGGTAAGACAAGCAGATTTTGGAGCCGCCTGCATAAAGATGAAAATGGGATTCGTGGGAACTAATGATATTGCCAAGAGAAAGAACGTAGAAATAAAAGAAGCCCCACTTAATGGGCTTCTCTCTGATCTCCTCAGTCAATAGCAAGCTTTCCTCTCAGACCTCGTATAAGTTCTTCATTCCTACTCCTTTCTTACACTTAATAATTTATCATGTTAGGTTAAGGTTAAGGTTAGGGTGTAGTGGACAAAAGACTGGCCCTGGAGTCAGGAAGACCTGAGTTAACTCAGCCTGAGACACTCACCAGGCATGAAGTTCTAAACAAGTCATTTGACCTCTGTTTGCCTCAGTTTCCTGAACTGTAAAATGGGGATAATAATAGCACATACCTCCCAAGGTTTTTGTAAGGATAAAGTAAGATAATATGTACAAATTAATTTTCAAACATTCAAGAATTATATAAATGTTGTTGTTGTTCAGTCACTTCAGTTGTATCCAACTCTTTGTGACCCATTTGGAGTTTTCTTGGCAAAGATACTGGAGTGGTTTGCCATTTCCTTCTTCAGCTCATTTTGCAGATGAGAAAACTGAGGCAAACAAGGTTAAATGACTTGCCCCGGGTCACAAAGCAAGTCAGTGCCTGAGGCCAGATTTGAACTCAGGTCTTCATGGTTCCATAGTAGGCATTCTATCCACTGGGCCACCTAGCCGCTAAACTATATAAATGCTAGCTATGATTTTGTTGTTGTTGTTATCTATATTTGTTTCGTATACCACTGCCCAAACCACAAATTGGAGGAACATTCTCTTATCTAAGCTAGTATCTCCTCCAGCACCAAGCATAATGCTCCATGTGTATATGTATATGTATGTGTATATGTATGTGTATGTGTATATGTATATGTGTGTATGTGTATGTGTATATATATATGTGTATATGTGTGTACGTGTGTACATATACATATATATATCACTTAACAAATGTTTGCTGAATGTTGAACAGATGAATATCTGAAGTCCAGAGCAATTCCAGGTTCACCTGTAACACTGGGATCCATTTAGGGTTCCATCACTTGGTTCATGGGTTGTCCTACCCCTCTTCTCAGACTTGCTCTCTGATTCTTGCTCCTCTATATCTTTAAGGTCGGCGTCACTCAAGAACCATTCGTATTTTCAGTACGGAGAGTCTCATTCCCAGAAATTCAGAAAATCCTAACTCTGAGCATATGGTAAGACGCAGGCACACACACACACACACACACACACACACACACACACACACAAACACACACACTCCTCCATATTCTTGGCCCACATGCCCATACACACACATACGTATATATATCACACACACTCACACACACACACATACACACACACAAATACATAGATATGTATATACATAAACAAATATATATATATATGTATATATACACATATTCATACATATATATATAATTTTTCCCCAGTAACAAAGAATTCTTGGCTTTTGTGCTCTTATGTCCAGCACAAAACCTCTGAAGAAAACTAAATTAATACTACTATGATTCCTAAAATGACCTTTCTAGTCCTTGAGCTGGGCTCAGGAATTTTGCTTTCCATCTGAGTAAAGTTTAAAGTTAGTTTAAAGTAATTAAAAGAAACATTATCTTTCATACCTGTAGCTCTTGAGATACTTTCAGAACATCTATTTGTTATCTTTAAGCTCCACAGGTTAACTTGGTAACATCCCCAAAAGATATGTTGGCTGTCCTTGCCTGTCCCTGTGTAGTTAGGGGAGTTTTTAATCTGTTCCAAGGAGACAGCAAGTCTGGTAGTTTTGATCCCCTAGCAAAAATTAGAAAGATGCATTCCATAAAACAATTAACATTCCTTAATTGATAGAGAGGGGCAGTGATTAGCCTCCCGTGAATACCAGCCTGCCTTTCTTTGTATAGCCAATCATAATGTTTCTGTTCCAATTCTACAACAACCTATCACCTTTTCTCCATACCGACCAAGATCCCTTCTTTGCTGTATATCAATAAAGAGGGTCCCTTTCTTCTTACTGGGGTTGCTGACTTTACTGAGGTTGCCAGTCTGACCCTCTTGGTTAACAGTTATGCATCACTATCCAGTGATTAAGACCAGAAGCTTGTACCTCAGTTTATCTTTAGTGATTTTATAAAATAATATTTATGAAGTAATTTTCAAACATTAGAGAACTGCATATATATATATATATATATATATATATATATATATATATATATGTGTGTGTGTAAAAAAACTGTCTGCCTCCATACACTATCACAATACAATAATCATGGAAACTCAGGATTAGAAGAGAAGGACCCCAGAGCTCATCCAGTCCAACCCATAAATGAATAGGAATCACCTCTACCCCATATCCCATATTTTCATTACACATATGTGAAACAGACTAGAAAACAAAAACCTTTCTTGGATCTTTGACCCAAGACACAGCTTTTTAGGCTTAACTTATTTTTAAGGCTACAGAAGGTCTTAGAAATACTATGATAAAGGAAAAAACCAAAAGTTGTAAGTAATACATCACAACATGAGTAGGAAAAGGAAAAAAAAACTCTGCTAATGTTCCATACCCCTTTCTGATGAATTTAAATCATTTCTCCTGACAGTTTTCACCAACAGTGCATGTCCTCCAGTCATGCAGGGACAGTGTTCCTGCTGTTGGATATGAGGTTGGCATCTATGACAACACTGCGATATCCCAGGTCCATAGGAACCTCATTCCTGCAGTAGACTATGTCAATGTTGGAGCATCCATAGAAAGCATGAGCACTTCTTCGGAGGATTCACAGGATTATGTCAATGTGCCCAATGCCAAAGAAGTTTCCAGAAATCCAGGTGCAATGGACTCCTTGTGTGAGGATCTCCACAACCCTCAAACATCTGAGGAGAGTGAACCCAGTATAGAAAGAGACAGTGGCACTAAGAATGCTGAAGACTCCACCAGTATTTGGGTTCTAGGCCTTGAGGACAGTGACTATAATGGGGATGCAGAGGGCTCTTCTTTGTCCTCTAATGACTATGTAAACGTGCCAGGAGCAGATAATGAGGAGGATCAGGGCAGACAACACTGGGTGACCTTTCAAGATTGCCGAGCTTATGACAATGTCCTATGGGCTGAGCCTAATAGGAAAAAGCTGCATGCAGGGGAAGTGTTGACATCAACAAATAGAGGAGGCATCCTGGGTTGGACTCCCAGTCTCCCTTTTGGTGTCCAATGTGAAGAGCCAAGAGAGAACTCGCTTGACTCCTGGGATAATGAGAATATTGAGCCATTAGCACAGGATGGAAATAGCCAAGACACATCTGCAGAAATGGATAGTGAGGACTCTGATGATTATATAAATGTGCCAGCAGTGATTGAAGAGGGGAAGCTCAACACTGAGCATGGGACTGAGGCAAGGGCACTGACTACAGAGCAGAAGCTCACTAACCAGGATGGAGTTTTCTATACGTTCTTTCCTACTTCAACTTCTGTAACCACATAGCAGTGACCAAACTCAATGAAGGACTGAGAATCTTTCAATATGAGCCATCCAGTGAAAGGTGGAAAGAGGTGATGGGTGAGCAAAAGCAAGAAAGAAACTGCTTTTGAGCCATGGAGCCTGGTAGAAAGAGCATAGACCTGTAAGCCAGGAGAACCAGGGTTGAGCTCTGGTTCTACCAAGTACACGTGTCATCTGTAAATTAATTACCTCCCTGTACTTCACTTTCATTATCTGCCAAATGGGCATAGTAATGTTGATATCTGGCCTACCTATCTAAAAGAAAGTGTAGTACAGCAGAGAGCACCATATACTTGGTGTCAAAGGACTTAGGTCCAAGTTCCAGCCTGGCCCAATCCCAGCAAATCCATACTCGTGTGTGGGCTTGGGAAAATAACAACCTCGTAGGGCCTCAGTTTCCTCATCTGTAAAATGAGGGGTTGGACTACCCCACATGAGTTTGCAATTCATAGTTGAAGAAGTGCTGAAGGGGTCGCAGGTGGAAAAAATTTAAGAAGCCCTGGCTTAGATGATTTCTAAGGTCCCTGCCAGTTCCAAATCTATAATCTTACCCTTCAAATCTCCTGTGAGAATGTTCTAATAATGGCAAAGCACTTTATAGAGGGGTAATGCAAATATAATGAATGATCATTCTAAGCTAGGGACATTGATAATGCCCATCCCAGAAAACACACCGTTAACAATGTTGCTACAACTCCATTTGGAAGCAGTTAAGATATTACAAGCACACTCCATCATAAAAGTGCCCCAATTATAATGTTTTCAGTCTCTGGCTCCTAATCTCCATTTCTCACCGAAGCTGCTCCAGTTTTACTGTTTCATCCAAACCTCGGTTTTCATGGACTCAGTTAAAGATATTAGGTGGGTCTACCCACGTGTAGAAGTCTAGGCAAGGTCAGAAGCACTAAGCTAGGGGAAAGTTTTCATTTGGTCCATTCGTATGATCGTACGCTCTTCTTGGGAAGGAGCTAAACTAGAAAAGGGCCCGATCTGTGAACCAAGATCAAAGGCACAGAATTCTACATACCTTCCCGCTCTGCTATTGACTTAAGCAAATTTAAGTCATTCTGTGTCTTAGTTGCTTATCTGTAAAGTTAGGGATAACAAAGAAGATGTGTTTGTAATCACATTGTATATGTCAATATACACATATTTTTCACGTTTTCACATATATATTCCATCTCCCTAACTGGATTGTAATTTTATTGAGGGCTGAGACCCTTTCATAATTTCTTTGTATCATCCATAGCATCTAACCCAGACCTTATATATACTAAATATTCAATAAATGTTTGTTGATAAGGGAAATAGTATATGTGTTTTGTTCATGTGTTCACAGTACATATTTCTAATTTGGGATAAATTATTAATCTACCCTGGGGATCAAGTCTAGATATTTGCATAAGACTCCCTTTATTGCTGAAGAAACAGTGTATACGCACATGCAAAGATTTCTTTCTGGTAAAGATGGCTGTTGAAGGAGGATGCTTGCTAGTTGTGATTAAGGACTAGATACTGTATACTAAGACAGCAAGGGCATTTCCTTTTCCGGAAGTCACACCGAACAACAAAGCAGAAACCAGTCATGCAGCCATACCACGGGCCTGTGTTCTGCATTCTGGGAAATGCTAATCAGATACCTCAGGAGTGTGTGTGTGTAAGAGCCAAATGGAACCTGGGCTAGTGTGACTGAGACTTTTCCTAAGTGCACTTAAATTTAGAGAGCAGTATAGCATTTGGACAGCCTCAGTGGGTAAGAAGATTTTAGTAGTTAGTTAGCAAAAATAATTAGTTAAAATGGGAGGCTACCTTTCCCCTCGCCACATGGCCAATCTGCCCCAAGGTGAACTCCTCCTGGGACTGGCCTGGCCCCTCCCTCAGTGGTGGTCTTCCTCAAGTGGACTTCCAGTATTCCAGGGTCTTCATATCCTCCCCATGATTCAGTGCCGTGGAGTCTCTCCTCCACAAGACTTAACACCCTGAGATCTCATGTTTCTTCAAGGCCTGTCTTACCATAGTTGAATTTTTCTTAGAAAGTTGACTAAAGGATGTTTTTAAGTGCTGCTTGTCCCAAAGCACGTTTTGTGGAGCTTTCCCAGAGTGCCTTTCAGAATGGTTTTGTTCAGACTATAAATGTGTGCACTTGATCAGATTGGTGTAAGTAAAATGTCTGATCCGCCCCTCAAAGTCTGATCACTGATCAGATCAACTACATTTTGTCTTCAGAGTTTTGAGGAAACCTAAGGCTTAAAGGGGTGGAGGGGAACGTGGTTCCCCTATCTCCTGTAACCAAGGTAAGTCAGTGCCCTTCTGCCAAGATTCACCAGGGGTATTTGCAACCAGAGGGATTTCACAAGGCCTCAGCTCTAATAGCCAATTGGAATAATTTGAATTGGCATAGACTCAGAGGCCTATTGGGTGAATCAATAATATCTCCATTTATTCACCTATTCTCTGCTTGGACTCTACCAGTGACAAGTGACTGATTTCCTCACTAGGCAGCCTCTATTTTGGAGAACTCTATTTATCAATAAGTTCTTCTGTACATTAAGCCAAAAATCTATCTTCCTGTAACTTCCACTCATTGCTTCTAGTTCTGCTTTATGGAAGCAAGAACAATAGGTCTGATACTTTTTCCATATGACAGTCCTTCAAATATCTGGACAGCTATCATGTCTCCCCTCAGTCCTCTTTTCTCCAGCTTAAATGTCTCTAGGTCCTTCAACAGACAATGATACTGCTGTCAACAATGATAAATGATATTTGTAAAGCAGAACATGTCATAGATATGTGTGTATGTATGTATATATATATACACATATACATATATGAGTATATGTGAGTGTGTATGTATGCATGTATATATTCTCCTCACAACAATTCTATGAAGTAAGAGATATGGATATTACTCCATTTTATGGTTGAGAAAATTGAGATTCATAGAAGTTGTGACTTGTGCAGAATCATATAGCTACTAAGTTTCATGGTGAGTATTTGAACCTAGATCTTCTTGACTTCAAGTCCAGATCTCAGTTATCCACTGTGCCTCGCTACCTTATGTGACATGGTTTCAATTCACTCTCCTCTAGACACACTTCAGATTGTCAAAGTCCAGACTGACCAGCTCGAAGTCTAGTGGTTCTAAGAGCCTCTTTCCATCTCCATACTACACTTCTACTTGAGCCTAAGAATCAGACCTAACACAAGATCCATCCTAAGGCACAGATCTATCTTCTTCCAGATCTATAACTTGATAAACTGAGACATTCTCCAATTTCTTCTTCATTTCCTTCACCACATTCAAAATCAGTTCCTTTTTTTTTTCACACCTCTCCTCACAGCTACAAAAGCAAAAACTTATCAGTGTCAATGTTTGTTGGGGAAATCAGCAAATGCCTAGAGGTTTCTTCAAAACTCAGCTCAAGCACCATCTCCTGGGTTCAATCTTTCCTGAATTTCATCTCCTGCATAGATACATACATATACTCATGCCTGGTTCCACACAGATGATCTTATATTTACTGTGTAGCTGACTTTACCTTGTTTCGGTATATTTTCTTCTCTGCCTACTCATCTACATGAGGGAAAGGAAGACATGGAGTTTTTTTTTTCCCCAATGTATTTTTGTATTAGTTCAAAGCATCTTTCCAATCAATTCAACAAACAGCTAACAAACACCTGCTATATACAAAGTGCTGTGCTATGATAAAATGACAAAGTGAAAGGGTTCCTGCTCTCATGGAGCATCCATTCTACTATGGAGTCAATGATACTTGATGTACACAAGTTAAATCAATACAAAGTATCTCAAGATAAAGTGTGTTAGTTTGCAGTGTAGGAGCTGTGCTTTGAAAGAAGCTGGGGATTCTAGAGCCTGAAGCATTATTTTTTAATATGACTCCAAATAATGTTTTCATTTCCTTTTTATTATAAACTTAACCATCATATTAACATAAATATTCCTACATACAAATTTTAAAAAGGATTTTATGAGAAATGAAGACTTGGAGTTTTAGAAACCATGTAGTCTATCACCACAAAACTATTTGGTAAGTAAGAAGCAAATAACCATTAGTTGCTTCATAGCCTAGACTGGAGAGATGAGAATTTGGAAAGTATACTTGCTAGTCTCCTTAAGCTGGAGTGAGGTAGGGATTTAGCCCTACCAGGAAGAGAAGGGGGGTGGGGTAAGGAGGACTAAGCCCTAAGGGCTTTATCTAATGCCTGGAAATGAGAATATCCAGGAAAGCTAAGGAAATGAGAGACCTTGGAGCCCAGCCCAAGGAGAAAACAGGGAAGGCTTCTGCTGGTTATAGGATGGTAGTTGCTGCCTTTTTGTCTATAAGAACATGGCAAGGATACTAGTTAGGGATTACAGCTGAACCTGAAGTTGAGGTTAGTGAAGGCTGAAGCAGGTACTCCACTGTTAGGGAAGTTCCTGTGATCCTGCACAAGACCAGTGGGGAGCCAGCCCAAGCACAGAAGTCAGTGTCAGCATGAACAACACAGAATCATCAATGGCCAGGCAACAGGCTGCCTCGGGGGCACCTCAGCCACATGTGTACCTCTCTGTGTTTTCCATATGTGTCTACTCTTCTTGCTGGGTATATCTGTGCGAAAATACAACCTATTTTGTTGTGGGAAATGTTTTTGTTTCTACTATTCTTGCTCTGCATGCCATTTCACTAAATTCTTTCTGAGCTGATTGTGTCCCTTTGATGGGGTATGGGACCAAGCCGAGACCTTTGCCTCTTACCCCAAAAAGAATTTGGGTCCCATTTGTCTACGGGGCCCTGGAAAACCCCATCTTGGACTCTCCTTGAACTCCCACTTGATCAAGGAAGTCTATAGCTTTGCCTGAGGCTATAGTTCTTTCAACTGGCCTTCCATTGCCCCTATGCCTAATCTCCCAATTCTCTGTTACCCTTAACCTAGCCCAGCCTTCCATTGTCTGTTACCTCAGGATGGCCTCCATCTACTTCCCACCCTTGAACCTATCTAGACCCCATTCTCAACCTCCCAGTCACTCCCATCAAGATCCTCCTTAGACCCCTCCTCCAGTCACCCCAGCTTACTGACCACCCCCATCAAGATTCTCCCTAGACCCCTCCTCACAGACACTCCAAACTATTTGGCCACTCCTAGATCCCTCTCACAGTCTTTCTGTATATAAGGTCCATCTTGTCTCCATTCAGGCGCTCAGATTCTTGAAATCTGGTCAATAGTGCTTAGATTCCTTAAGAGTCTGGCCAATATGGTGTATCTTTAACCTTGTCTTTGGCTGAAAAAAGGCTTGGGTCAAATTCATTTGGGTAGAATCCACACGTTGCTATTTCAGGGTCCCAGCACCCCTAAGCTTCTAAACCTCAACATTTATGGTTCCCTGAACCTCAATACTTTGGCCATTTTTTAAAAAATAATTTTTATTGCTATTTTCTATTTTTATATCACTTTCATGTGCCAATATATCCCACCCCGTCCACTCCCATTTATAAAAAAAAAATTTTAAGTGAAAATAAACTAGTTCAACAAAATTAGCCAACACATAATCTGTAGTGTCCACACACATATGATAGTAATTATAGTGTCCTCACTGCAAAGAGGTGTCTGTCCCATGTTGAAGTCTAGACTGACTGGCTCAAAGTCTAGTGGTTGTAGAACCCCCATAACCACAGCCAAGACAGGTGATTCAAATCACAAGACAAAGGCTCTTAGTAATAGGAGTTGAGATTTGACCTTTGAAGTTAATCAAGTTTCTCAGGAAAAGTGGGTGATGGGTGGGGTTACAAAGGTGGTGGTAATTACAAGACAAACATTTGACCTTTAGGCAAGATTCTCTGGGATGTGGGTGGTAGGTGAAGTTAACAAGGGGAAGAAATCATGAAAGTGAATATTAAATCTAGCTTGATTAAATCTTAGCAAAATAGAATTAAAATCAATTTTTAATTTTACAGTTATAATCAAAGAGCTGTTGAACAAATGTATTTCTGTGATTATATCTTTTAAGCAATCTTGAATGATTTTGATGTATGGAAAAGAAATATCTTATTGGGGAAAAAAGTCATTAAAGATGGTGTTTTGTTCTGCTCAATCAAAAGCTTCTTTATAATCAATAAATAACAATCACAGTGGTTCCTTGAATTCTCTACATCTTTCAGTATATTTTGTGAAAGTAAAGATGTGGCCCATTGTGGAATATCCACATATGCATCCAGTACAAGTATCAATGTCCCTCAGAATAAAGGACCAACCTTGAGGAATGATCTTCAGGACCACAGTCAGGCAGAAGGAGTCATTTG